GGCTATAAGAAACAAAAGGCTTGGGTCCCAGCAAGTTCATTATAGCGAGGGTGTACTGCATTTATATTGGCAAAAATAAATGGTTGTTTGAGCAGGCTCATTTAATTGGACTGACATTCACTACACTATGGTCAAAAACACAAAACCACAATTAAAACATTTCCTTATTTTAGACCTACCAGATACTTTAGGTCTCTGCTATCACTGTAAATCAAATCAATGCATTACTCTAGAACTTATCAACATTCCAATCATCAGGTGACAGGCTTAGCTTTGGACCTTTACTTCAGTTGACGGAACAACACTCACCCAATATTTCTCTTTGAAGTCTTGCAAGCACTATTTTTAAATCCAGCACACAGCAAACATGCATTTTATATTTACTATAACTGACTATATCTGCATATAAATGGTACTTCCACACCCTCTACAACAAAAGCTGCCCTGGATTTGCCACATAATGACTTCCAGATGCATTGCAGATCTGACTGAGAGTCCTATTTGTGCTATTCTCTCAATCACATGCAGCCCCCTCCAATTCCTATTCCCTCACATGCTCATTTTCCACTGCACTATTGTACAATCCATAATTAATTCAGTTCATCTGCAAAATGGAGGCTTCACCTAGCAACCACTGTTAAAAAAAACAAACAAAAAATTAAAAGCATCTTTTGTTCAGTGAGAAACAGCAAGCCATCCCCAGTTACACCCAGCACCTTCTTCAGAGCCAAGCTGGTCCTATCCTGGAAGAATCAAATAACTAGGAGTAATGGAAATGTGAATTATTAAAAATACCTACTATAGTGGAGGAGGTCAATGACAACAGGTCTACAGGGGAGGTTTTTACCCAGACAGTTGGTTTTTACCCAGACTCCCACCTGCCTGGGCATGGGGAGAAATCTCCCTCAAGGACTTGTTATTCAGGGTTGTCCATTTATGGGGAGTTTACACCTCCCTCTGACACAGCTGGTTCAGACACTTTGAAGTATGGGGGCCCCACATTCCTCTCCCCTCATTTTGGAAATAGCCAGATGTAGGAAATTAAGATATGGGACAGCAATAGCCCTCATTGGGAAGCACATTCAAGTATTCCAGCAAGAACCAGTTTTCGTATGACTGGAATATGAGCCTTTGAAAATTCATACTGTGCGTGGATACATAGATGAGACAGTGGTGTAGGGAACAGGGATTTAAGTTTATTAGGAACTGGGGAACTTTTGGGGACAGGAGGAGTCTATACAGGAAGGCTGGGCTCCACCTAAACCAAAACAGAACCAGACTGCTAGTATGTAAAATTAAAAAGGTTGTAGAAGTGTTGTTAAACTAAGGGCTGGGGGATGGCTGACAGGTGCAGAAGAGCACATGGTTCAGACAGAGAAATCCGTTAGGTGAGGATCTATTAAGGGAGATTCTGTATACCATACTAAGGAAGAGAAGATGGAAGTTGATAAAGTACAGGTAGGAACTGAAGAGAAACAGTCCAATGAAAAAAAGGAGTCTAATTCAATTACAGCACATAATGGCAGACAGCTAAAAAGTGGCAAATTTTAAAACTGCTTGTATACAAATGTTAGAAGTCTAAATATTAAGATGTGTGAACTTAAGTGCCTGATATTAAATCAGGATATTGATATAACAGGCATCACAGAATCTTGGTGGAACGATGATAATCAATGGGACATGGTAGTATCAGGGTACAAAATATGTAGGAATGACTGAGTAGGTTGTTCTGGGGGTGAGTGGCACTATATATGAAAGAAAACAAAGCGTCAGAGTAAAAATAGTAAATGGCTCAAACTGTACCACAGAATCTCTATGGATAGAAATTCCATGCTTCAATAATAAGAATATTCCACACCTGACTAGGACGGTGATGATGATTATGAAATGCTCAGGGAGATCAGAAAGGCTAAAAAAAGAAAACTCAATAATAATGGGGGATTTCAAATAGCCTCATATTGACTGGGTACATGCCACCTCAGAACAGGATGCAGAGATACACTTTCTTGACATCTTAAATGACTGCTTCTTGGAGCAGCTAGTTCTGGAACCCACAAGGAGAGACACAATGCTTTATTTACTCCTAGGTAGAGCACAGGATCTGGTCCAAGAGATGAATGTAGCTGAACCACTTGGTAATACTGACCTTAATATGAGAAGAAGCTAAATGAATTATTTGTATCGGTCTTCACTGCAGAGAATATGAGGGCAATTCCCACACCTGAGCCACTCTTTTTAGGTGACAAATCTGAGGAACTATCCCAAATGGAGGTGTCAATGGAGGTGGTTTTGGAACAAACTGATACATTAAACAGTAATAAGTCACCAGTACCACATGGTATTCACCAAAGAGTTCTGAAGGAACTCAAATATGAAATTGCACTACTAACTGTGGTATGTAACCCTATGTAACCCACCACTTAAAATCAGCCTCTGTACCAGATGACTGGAGGATAGCGCAAATAGGACATTAACTTCTTTAAAAGGCTCCAGAGGGAATCATGACAATTACAGGCCAGTAAGCCTAACTTCAGTACCAGACAAATTGGTTGAAAACGGAATGTATAACAATGGGGTTTATGTTATAACGCATTGTATTATTTAATTCAAAATTCTGTTATTTCATAAATGTAAAATGTTATCTATAAAGCGAGTTTAAGAAAGATAATAGTTGATATATAGTGGATAATAATCGTTCACAGTAGTTTATGATATAAGCTTTAGTAGAAACAACTAACTGATTTACTTGTGATTATTTCCCACTTAATTGATTTATACTTTACCCCGAACTGATTGAGAACAAACATAATTTGGCCTATAGATTGCCTCTGCCACTCCTTATTGCTCTGATTCATGACACCGCTCCATTGGGCGCATGACAAGTATACCTTATTAGTGAAATCATTTGCAGTCAAAGATGGTTTCATCTTGCATAAGCTCAATGGGCAAAGTTAAGGCTGACTATGCAAATTTAGTTTGGCATTTTTTGATTTGTAAGAAGTTAACTAAACAACCTTAAGGTTCTCTTATTAACTTAATGTCTTTTTTATTGCTGTAAAATGGTACAAAGCACAGATTTATAAATATAAGTTCCTAACAACATATAACATGAGGCTTTTGCATATACAAACAGAAACAAGGAATCCCTACCAACTCAGAGATAAGAATAGTGTCTGAAGTTACAGTAGCTAGGAAAAAATTACAAGGGATACTAGTCCTCAATTTTCAGGACAAAACGGTCACCAAGTAGAATGAGGAAGAACCTTCATCAACGATATAACATTTCACAGATAGGTAGGTGTGTGTGTCTCTCTCTCTCTCTCTAAGATCACTCTTTACACACACACAGTATATTTGTGTATTGGTACACTTTGAGCACTACCTCACTCAAATCATAATCAGAATAAGTTCTTCTCTTGCAATCTGACTGGCTACACTGCTGGATGTTACTCTCCTATAAATATGGACGGGGCCAATGCTGATGTCATGCATGCAGCAGAGGACATGTCTACACCACCACTTATGTTGGCAAAATTTATATCATTTCAGACATGTAACAAAACCACACTCATGAGCAATATAAGTTTCGCTGGCATAAGAGGTAGTGTTCACAGTGCTATGTTGGTGAAAGAGCTTCTCTTGCCAACATAGCTACCGCCACTCATTGAGAGCGATTTATTTATGTCAACGGGAAAGCTCTGTGCCGCTGTAAAGTCTCTAGTGAAGACACAGTCACAAAAGTAGGGGGACGAGTGCAAATGCAAAAAGAACCCAGTTAGAGAAGTTTTTGCCCAAGTTCAGTTTATAATAGCAACAATTACTTCAGCCTAAGGCATTTTCATAGGGCTGGTGGTCTGAGGCCATTCGCTCTTCCCAGCCTTTCACTAATCCTCAGGAAATTCCCCAAGCCTTAATCACTATTGCTTGAACAAACAGTAAAACACAAATCTGAAAACCTTGATACTATAATATTGTAACACATGCACTTTTGTTGACTACATGCTGAAGTCCACTTCTTGGATTAGCCTTTAAACTCCTTCAGCATCACACAGAAGCCTAAGTAAATACATAGTACAGCTTGCTTTTAAATCCAGATTGCAAGCCTAAAGCAGCTGGAATATATAAAAATAGCTGTTTTCCTTTGTGTTTCTGAGGAAGGTACATTCTATGTATATATTATAGATGAAAGATTCATGGGGATCGGGACAATTTTCTATAGAGCAAATAGAATTTTTCACAGATTCCAAAGCCAGAAGGAATCACTATGATCAGCTAGTGACACAGTGGTTCCCTGTTTTAATGGGGTCTCCAGGGCCGGTGTTAGACTTGCTGGGACCAGGGGCCAAAGCCCGAGCCCCACCACCCCAGGCCGAAGCCCGAGCCCCACCACCCAGAGCCAGAGCCAAAGCCAAAGCTCCCCACCTGGGGCTGAAGCCCTCAGGGTTAGGCTTTGACCCCCCCTCCCCGCCCACAGCAGTGGAGCTTGGGCAGGCTCAGGCTTCGGTCCCCCCTCCTGAGGTCATGTAGCAATTTTTGTTATCAGAAGGGGGTTGTGGTGCAATGAAGTTTGAGAACCTCGGATTAGTCTAACCTCCTGTATAACACAGGCCCATAGACCTTCCCCTAAATAATACCTGTTTGAACTAGGACTTTTTTTTTTAAATCCAATTTTGATTTTCAATTTTTCCCCTTTTATCTTATTCAGGGTATTTTATAAGATGCAAAGAAGTACGCTCAGCAATTTCATTAAGCAACATACTTTTCAGCACAGACCCTCAAATGGTTCCAGCTAGACCTGCCTAAGAATTTTTATCATGTGGATGTAAAGTAATTTGAATGGGTGGCTAGGAAGCCCAGTAATTGAAAGATTTTTGAATCCACAAGAGCTCTGAAAGCTCCTCGTTGGACATTCTCATCCCCATGCTCACATTAAACAAGTCAGTCATGAGGGGTCTGATGTCTGTCAATCATGAGCTTTCACATGGTCCTCCGTAACTTACCTCCTGTACTGGTGGAGCTAGCGGATTCTTGAACTCTGATAAGGAAACTGGCAAAGAGAACTTGGAAAGCACAGATGGCAAATCATGGCCAGGAAACTGACAGGAAAATTCATCTGCCAAAGGGGAGTAACTATGGAAAAGAGGTACAAGAAGAAATTAGTCTTGCAAACAGAATTTAAATAAACTTACTAATACTCATTCATTGCACAAGACATGCCAATTCACAACAAAAATGTTCTTTATGTTCTAGGTAAATAATAAAGAATCCCATTATAGTTTATGATATCTAATATCCTGATTGAGAAAATAATCATCATAGAACATCAGGGTTGGAAGGGACCTCAGGAGGTCATCTAGTCCAACCCCCTGCTCAAAGCAGGACCAATCCCCAACTAAATCATCCCAGCCAGGGCTTTGTCAAGCCTGACCTTAAAAACCTTTAAGGAAGGAGATTCCACCACCTCCCTAGATAACCCATTCCAGTGCTTCACCACCCTCCTAGTGAAAAAGTTTTTCTTAGTATCCAACCTAAACCGCCCCCACTGCAACTTGAGACCATTACTCCTCGTTCTGTCATCTGCTACCATTGAGAACAGTCTTAGATCCATCCTCTTTGGAACCCCCTTTCAGGTACTTGAAAGCAGCTATCAAATCCCCCCTCATTCTTCTCTTCTGCAGACTAAATAATCCCAGTTCCTTCAGCCTCTCCTCGTAAATCACATGCTCCAGCCCCCTAATCATCTTTGTTGCCCTCCACTGGACTCTTTCCAATTTTTCCATGTCCTTCTTGTAGTGTGGGGCCCAAAACTGGACACAGTACTCCAGATGAGGCCTCCCCAATGCTGAATAGAGGGGAATGATCACATCCCTCAATCTGCTGGCAATGCTCCTACTTATACAGCCCAAAATGCTGTTAGTTTTCTTGGCAACAAGGGCACACTGTTGACTCATATCCAGCTTCTCGTCCACTGTAACCCATAGGTCCTTTTCTGCAGAACTGCTGCCTAGCCACTCTGTCCCTAGTCTGTAGCAGTGCATGGGATTCTCCCGTCCTAAGTGCAGGACTCTGCACTTGTCCTTGTTGAACCTCATCAGATTTCTTTTGGCCCAATTCTCTAATTTGTCTAGGTCCCTCTGTATCCTATCCCTACCCTCCAGCATATCTACCACTCCTCCCAGTTTAGTGTCATCTGCAAATTTGCTGAGGGTTCAATCCACGCCATCCTCCACGTCATTAATAAAGATATTGAACAAAACCGGCCCCAGGACCGACCCATGGGGCACTCCGCTTGATACCGGTTGCCAACTAGACATGGAGCCATTGATCACTACCCGTTGAGCCAGACGATCTAGCCAGCTTTCTATCCACCTTATAGTCCATTTATCCAGCCCATTAGTCTTGCCAGCAAGCTAAAGAAGTCTGTGGGAGACCATATCAAAAGCTTTGCTAAAGTCAAGGAATAATACGTCCACTGCTTTCCCTCATCCACAGAGCCAGTTATCTTGTCATAGAAGGCAATTAGGTTAGTCAGGCATGACTTGCCCTTGATGAATCCACGCTGACTGTTCCTTATCACTTTCCTCTAAGTGCTTCAGAATTGATTCCTTGAGGACCCGCTCCATGATTTTTCCAGGGACTGAGGCGAGGCTGACTGGCCTGTAGTTCCCCAGATCCTCCTCCTTCCCTTTTTCCAAGATGGGCACTACATTAGCCTTTTTCCAGTCATCTGGGACCTCCCCCGGTTGCCATGAGTTTTCAGCAATAATGGCCAATGACTCTACAATCACATCCGCCAACTCCTTTAGAACCCTCGGATGCAGTGCATCCGGCCCCATGGACTTGTGCTCATCCAGCTTTTCTAAATAGTCCTGAACCACTTCTTTCTCCACAAAGGGCTGGTCACCTCCTCCCCAGGCTGTGAATGAACATATTCATCATGGTATTAGCTTTTGCTACAGCAATTTTTTTATTTTTATCACAGACGCTTATTAATTGGATCTATTTTCCCGTGGTCCATTATTACAGATTTTTTTTTTTTAAAGATATCAAACAGATGCAATATTTTCATCTCACTATCCCTAGCTGCTTTGGAAGGACAAATCATCTTCTAAGGGTTTGTCTACACAGTGTAATGTGCACTTCCGGGGGTGGGTTTTCTAAAGCACAGTGGCGTGCTGCACATGAATTAGTCCATTGAGACCCTGCTGGTGCACACTTAAGGTTGGTCTACACTTAGAGCTGGGGATGTGAGTTAGTAGTGCAGTCACAGTAGCAAGGGCAGTGGCTTGAGCTAGCTGCCCAAGTACATACCCATGGAAGCTGTGTGGGTTTGTCCTGGAGGGGAGCTAGCCCCTCCTACTGCTAGCTGCTGTACCCTGGCTACACTACTATTTTTAGCATGCTAGCTTGATAAGATCTAGCACGAGTACATCTCCTCGAGGTAGGAATCACAACCCAAACTCCGAGTGTAGGCATACTCTAAAGATTCCCCACTGCGCTCTAATGTAATTCTGTTTCAAACAGCACTATGTTAAAGAACACTAGACCCTGTTGGTGTGCACTAAAGATACACATAAATTGGTCTGTGTAGGGTAACACATGAGTGCACTTTAGACCCTGTCTCCCCATAAGTGCACATTACCACATAGTATAGACAAATCACACTCTGCTTCAGCACAAACTTCTACTGTTTGCCTAATCTAGACAAACCCTTACATGTGCTAAGAGGTCAAGATCAGGTTGGGGTCAGTTAACAGACTACATCTATTGCCTAAACACAGGATAACACCCTTTACCTTGACTTAGCTGGCTGAGGTAAATTTTAGGCTCCTCCCTAGGCTTGACTTAAATCTGTTCTTCCACATTGCTCAGGACACAGGCTCACAACTTACACAATTAGAAACATACAGTTTTCCAGAGGTCGAACAAAGAATTGTCCCCACAAACAGCCCCCCATTTACTTCTATGCTTGACAGAAAAGATGGGCCTTGCGTCGTGCCTGATAAAGTCTGACTCTGCAAAGCAGATGGAGGTGGTAATTCCAGAGTCAAGAGCCCCCAGCTAAGAACTCCCAGAGACCAGGACTATTACAAATAAGTTTAGGGATTGCTAGCTCCATAGCCCCAAATGAACTCAACTGCTGTGACAAGGTGGGTGAGGGAATAACTTTTATTGGACCAACTTTTGTTGGTGGGAGAGACAAGCTTTCAAGCTACACAGAGCTGTTCTACAGGTCTGGGAAAGGTACTCTGAGTGTCACAGCTAAATACGAGGTTGAACAGATAGAGATTATGTGCTATTTATGCTAACCTAAGGGACCATTCAAAGTGAAGTGACCCATTAACACCTCTGTAGTCATAAGACAAAAAGGAGGGTTAGTTGGTTACAGATTGTTGTAATAAGACATTAATCCAGTGTCTTTATTAAAGGGAACCCAGGCAGATCCAACATATCTGGCCACAGCACTCTCAATGAAAGAATATGGGGACTCTCAAAAATCATCCTGAAGCCACTCACCACACAAAGGGCCAGCTTCCTCAGGACACAACCAACTTCCTCCACAAACTCCAAAACATTAAGAACTTCCCTCAGAACACCATCTTTGCCACCATGGATGTCACTTCCTCATACAACAACATTCCTCACAATGAAAGCATAGCTGCCTGCCTCAAATATTTACAAGACAATGGGCAACCCTCCAATATCCACCCCAGACACAAATCTCCAAACTCATCCATTTCATTCTCACCCAGAACAATTTTACGTTCAACAATAAACACTTTGTGCAAACCACGGGAACAGTCCTGGGTACTAGGATGGCTCCCCACTATGCCAGCCTCTTCCTGGGCCACCTTGAAGAATTTCTGGACAAACTTTGTACCACAAAACCAGTGATATACCCGAGATATATCTATGACATTTTCAGCCTCTGGACAGACAACTTAAACTCCCTCATAGATTTTCACCACAACTTCAATAAATTACCACCCATCCATTAAACTCTCTCTGGAACACTCCCTCACTAGCATCAACTTCCTGGACACCATAATCAACTTCAGCAATGGAACACCACAGACAACTATATATAAGAAACCCACAGATCACCACACTTACATTCACAGATCCAGTAACCACCCTAAACACACCAAGAAATCTGTTATCTACAGCCAGGCATTCAGATACCACAGAATATACTCTGAAGAGAAAATCCGGGATATATATTTTAAAACATGCAAAGCTACCTTCACCAAACAAGGACACTCCACCAAAGAAGTAAATGTATGCATGGAACAGGCCACCCAAACATCCAGAGAGAACCAGCTTCAACACAGAAATAAAACTCCGTCTGACCTTATACCCCTAATTGTCACCTACCACCCCACACTGGAACCCATACGAGAGATCATCAAACAGGTAAAACACATACTTGATGGGGACCCTATCCTGAAGAAATCTTTCCTTAATCCCTTCTTCTGGCTTCAGACAACCCCCCAAACTCTTCAAGAGCACCATCAAAAGCAAGCTTCCCACAGACCAGGACACACTACCTCAAAGTGGCACCAGATCCTGCCAGAACAACAGATGCAAAATCTGCAGACATATGTCCTCCACTACGATGATCAATACACCTCCCACCCCCCTCCACATACACACACCCCTTTCAAGATCCATGGGATGCCAATCACAACATGTGGTGTACCTCATCCAGGGCACTAAATACCCCAACAACAACTATGTGGGTGAAACCATACAATCACCATGCTCTTGAATGAACTAATGCAGAAAAACTGTAAAAGAGAAAAACACCACATCACCTGTGGGTGAACAATTTTCACAAAGAGATCACTCTATGTCTGACCTATCAGTCCTCATCCTCAAAGAAAACCTGTTCATCATTTTCAAAAGATGAGCCTGGGAGCTTAAAATCACAACTTTGCTATACACTAAAAATCATGGTCTTAATAAAGACACTGGATTTATGGATTATTACAATGTGTAACCCACTAACCCCACTTTTTATCCTATGACTACAGGGATGTTAACAGGCCACTTCACCTTGAATGGTCCCTTAGAATATGTGCTAACTAATTATGCTAAATTATCTGCTGAACTTGTAATTAGCTATGACACTGAGTCCCCTTCCCAGGCTTGAGGAAGAGTTCTGTACAGCTCAAAATCCTGTCTCTCTCACCAACAGAAGTTGGTCCAATAAAAGATATTACCTCACCCACCTTGTCTTTCTAATATCCTGGGACCAACACAGCTACAACTCAACTGCTGCGGCAGAAGAGAATCTTTCAGAGGGCGAGGAGAATCTTTCAGAGAACCAGCAACTAGGCCAGGTTGTGAATCAATGTCAGAACCTTGAATTGTACTCAGAAAAGAATAGGAAACCAGAACAACTATTGAAGAACAGATGTAATAGGTTTCCATGGACTAAATTTACTAGTGCAAAAGCCAATACCAATGGTACCTGTCACTTCAAAGTAGTTTGTGTGTAGATTATACATGTACATTACAGGTTTCAGAGTGGCAGCCGTGATAGTCTGTATTCGCAAAAAGAAAAGGAATACTTGTGGCACCTTAAGAGACTAACAAATTTATTTGAGCATAAGCTTTCGTGAGCATCCGATGAAGTGGGCTGTAGCTCACAAAAGCTTATACTCAAATAAATTTGTTAGTCTCTAAGATGCCACAAGTCCTCCTGTTCTTATTACACATTATAGTAATCCAAAGCAGATGTGACAGCCACCAGTGCATAAAGGTGCTCATGGGCTCAATACCACCTGAAGTTCCAGAACTAATCTAGAATTTGAAAACATCCCAGCTGCAAGTTCAGTGGGGAAAAGGTGGACAACTTTTCAACAGTGGAGCAGGAGTTACCCAACACACCCTCAACATCCTTCCCCCACCTCACTACCATCTCTGTCTGGCACAGGCGGAGCTTTATATGCAGCTCATATTTATCCAAGCCCCAGTCTTGATTAGAAGCCACAGTTAGCACTAGGATTAATGACAATGAAAACAGTGACTGTAATGGACCCCACCATGTTGCTGCTGTTTATACTTTTGAGTTACCTGTTACTGAAACATCACATGCCAGGCACGCAGCCTATCACATGCCTATCAAAAGCAGCTACCACACAGAACTTACTGAGATGTTTGTCTTGCTTTGAGTACTTCCATATTGCTTAGAATCATAGAGTTTAAGGCCAGAAGGGACCACCAGATTATCTAGTCTGACTTCTTGTATATCACAGGCCATTAACACCACCCAGCACCTGCACAGCGCATGCTAAACCCATCAAGTGAAATTAGACCAAAGTATTACAGCCCACAGGAGACAAAACAATTATGTGCTACATGCAGAGAATAGGAAAGACCAAGGTATGACATTGCACTCCATATGTTTATGGAAATATGCTTATGAGTGTAAATATAATGTAACTGGAATATGCTTTATGCAAAAGGTCTCTTGTAAGGTATCATTACAAAGTTTATAATCTACTGAGTGTGTTCATCCCTTTTGTATAAATGTATCATTCTCGTTTCTGAAACTCGAAATATGAAGTATGTGTCTCCTTCTGAAGACCTATTGTAATTATGCAAAGTGTGGGCCACTATTGGTGGCTTGGAATCTTGATGGCTCCCACTAACTAGGATAATTGGTTGTGAATGGCTCTGTTTACCTGCAAGCCTTCCTGTGTACCTGACATGGATAATGAAGAATGAGGTCTCACAGGACATGTAACCATGTCACATGATACTGGAATCCATCTTAAACCTGGTGCTTTTCCATTTAGAAGGAGGGGTGGGGACCCAGAGACACAAAAGATTCCCGCCTTGTACCAAACCTATAAAAAGGGGGTGGAACATAACAAAGGGGCTGCCAGTCATGAGAAATCCCCTAGTTACCACCTGAGCTGGAACTAACAAGAACTGCACCAGGGGAAAGGATTGGGCCCAGACTAAGAAGGTGTCTACTCTGTGAAAGAAGCTTATTGGAACATCTCTGAGGGTGAGCTATTACCTGTATCAGTTTCTTAATGTATTAGGCTTAGACTTGCATGTTTTGTTTTATTTTGCTTGGTAATTTACTTTATTCTGTCTGTTATTACTTGAAACCACTTAAATTCTACTTTTTATACTTAATAAAAATCACTTTGGTTTATTAATTAACCCAAAGTAAGTGATTAATACCGGAGGGGAGGAGAGAGGGGCAAACAGCTGTGCATATCTCTTTATCAATGTTACAGGAGTGCAGACAATTTATGAGTTTGCCCTGTGTAAGCTTTATACAGAGTAAAACAGATTTGGGGTTTGGATCCCATTGGGAACTGGGTGTTGGAGATAAGTGACTTGCTGAGCAGTTTTTGGTTAAAGTCTGAAGCTTTGGGGGCGTGGACCAGACTTGGGTCTGCGTTGCAGCAGACTAGCAGGTCTGGCTCAACAAGGCAGGGTTCTGGACTCCCAAGCTGGCAGTGGAAAACGGGCTCAGAGGTAATTCCAGCACGTCAGGTGACAGCCTGAAGGGGGTCTCTGTGACCGAGCCCATCAAACAAGGTACACCTATGCCTGAAGCCCCTGCAATGGAAGGGAATAGATTAAGACAGATACTCCCTTAGGCTCCATGCAAGAGTCCCTCTTCTTGGACATACTCAGCAGCCAAGAGTATTGAAAGGTTTAAAATGGTCTATGTTCACAGAGCAATTTCATGATGACAACACTGTACTGAGCTCCTGAAATTTGCTACCCACTCTATAAGTGTGCAAGTGAAGGCAAGCACACCTGTCACTGCCACAGAAGAGCTGCCCAATTCCTGTGTTCATCCCTGCACTGAACAGCCCTTAAGGGCTCATGAAATTCAAGCAAATTATACTGTTTGTACATCTCAACAACTTCAATAGCACAGAAAGTATCACCGCCCTGCCCAAATAAATGCCCAGGAAAAACAAATCTGCATTTTTCAAAGCAGTCCCACTACAGGCACTCATGGTCTGTCTACTTACAGACAAACACTGGCATTGGGGGACAGCATATAGACGTTGTTTTCACACAGTGGATAGACAATAATTGCTTTTCCCCAGTAAACCAGATGTGCAGCAAGCTGGAAAACCTGCATATAAAAAGAAACAAGACCAAAGATCATAATTAGGAAAGCAAAACAGCAACATTCAAACTTCCAGCAAAGAGCCCTTTATGCTGAGAGGAAAGCTCTGTCTGATCTAAAGAAAGCTAGCACTGTGCCATCACATCACTTCAATGGCAAAAATTTCTTAGAAGAAAATGATGTAACATGTGGCACATCAAAAAAAGAGTCTGACAAAGCTTCCACAGAAGTGATGCATTTCCAGGGCTTGGCTTCACATATCTAAGCAAATTTTATGTTTCCTGCTTCAAAGGAATTTCTTCAGACTGTGCTAGTAAAGGGTTTTACAACCAAGTAGTTTCCTTTATGCTTCACCCATCAATGGTTTATGCATGCATTCCACACACACACTACTCAAAATTCATTTGGTTAGATTAATATTTCATTCATATACATTAAAAATAAAATATAACTGAATAATTGGCTCACATCATATTAATGCATAAATTAAAAAGCAGTCAAAGTGGCACAGAAATACTGATCAGCTCAGCAACTTTGCAGTTGTTGTGAAAGTGACCATCAGTAATCCATTCTTTCTTTAAACCATACATCCCTGTGTGTAACCACTCACCATAAGATACTGCTGAAAAATCTTTCTAAGCATTAATGAGGGGCTTTAAAGCAACAGAATCAAGATTTCAAAGATTTTCATTTTAATGGGGTCACCAGGGCTGGCTTAGACTTGCTGAGGCCCAGGGCCAAAGCCTGAGCCCCTCCACCCTGGGCCAGGGCCAAGTCAAAGCTCGTGGGCTTCCGCCCTGGGCAGCGGGGCTGAAGTTACAGGCTCCCTGCCTGGGGCTGAAGCCCTTGGGCTTTGGCTTTGGCCCCCCCCGCCCAGGTCACTGGGGCTTGGGCTTTGGAACCCCCCCATCACCCTTCAGGCAGCAGAGCTTGGGCAGGCTCATGCTTCGGTCCCTTTGTTGTCAGAAGGGGATCGCAGTGCAGTGAAGTTTGAGAACTCCTGGCCTAATGCAATAATGACCTGAAGAATAAGGAAGATCCTAAAGCTTCAGACAGCAGATATACACTTTTCTTTCTTTGCTCATTTTAGCAAATACAAAATACCAGCTGAATCACTTACCCAGAACCAAACTTAGGAAAGCAACATCCATTAGATTTCTGAATATTAGCCTTCAATATATTAATATACATCCAATAAACCGCATGGTTGAAAGAGAGCAAACATTAAGAAAAAGCTGCAGAGTTAGGGCCAGGTTTTCACAGGCACTCAGAACCCAGGAGCTCCCACTATTTCCACTGGCAGCTGAGAGGTGATGAGCACGTTTGAGAAAACAGTCACTAAATATAACTGGTTTCTCTCTTTTCTTCCCTGACAGTCATGTCTAACTCCACACGCCATTTTCCCTGCATTTGCAGAAGAGTACTTAGCATTGATTTCTTTCACTATAATTCTATAGTTTACTGAAGCAGTATTCAGAGTGGTAGCCGTGTTAATCTGTATCAGCAAAAAAACCCACAAAAAACGACGAGTACTTGTGGCACCTTAGAGACTAACAAATTTATTTTGGCATAAGCTTTCGTGGGCTAAAACCCACTTAATCAGATGCATGCAGTGGAAAATACAGTAGGAAGATAATAGATAGATAGATACACATATACACACACAGAGAATATGAAAAAATGGGTGTTGCCATACCAACCGTAATGAGACCAATCAATTAAGGTGGGCTATTATCAACAGGGAAAAAAAAAAAAAACTTCTGTAGTGATAATCAGGATGGCCCATTTCAAACAGTTGACAAGAAGGTGTGAGTAACAGTAGGGGACAAAAATTAGCATGGGGAAATAGTTTTTACTTTGTGTAATGACCCATTCACTGCCAGTCTTTATTCAAGCCTAATTTAATGGTGTCCAGTTTGCAAATTAATTCCAATTCTGCAGTTTCTAGTTGGAGTCTGTTTTTGAAGTTTTTTTGTTGGAGAATTGCGACTTTTAGGTCTGAAATTGAGTGACCAGGGAGGTTGAAGTGTTCTCCAACTGGTTTTTGAATGTTATAATTCTTGATGTCTGATTTGGGTCCATTTATTTTTTTGCGTAGAGACGGTCTGATTTGGCCAATGCACGTGGCAGAGGGGCACTGTTGGCACATGAAGGCATATATCACATTGGTAGATGTGCAGGTGAACGAGCCTCTTATGGTGTGGCTGATGTGATTAGGTCCTATGATGGTGTCCCTTGAATAGATATGCGGACACAGTTGGCAATGGGGTTTGTTGCAAGGATAGGTTAATGGGTTAGTGTTTCTGTTGTGTGCTGTGTGGTTGCTGGTGAGTATTTGCTTCAGGTTGGGGGACTGTCTGTAAGTGAGGACTGGCCTGTCTCCCAAGATCTGTGAGAGTGAGGGATCGTCCTTCAGGATAGGTTGTAGATCCTTGATGATATGCTGGAGAGGTTTGAGTTGGAGGATTCCACCATGGTTTCAACAATTCCTATCCCCCCCACCAACCTCAGCCTGGACCTGTCCACACAAGAGATCCACTTCCTGGACACTAGAGTGCTAATAAGTGATGGCCACAAACACCACCCTATACCCTACAGATCACTATACTTACCTACATGCCTCCAGCTTTCATCCAGACCACATCATACGATCCACTGTCTACAGCCAAGCTCTATGATACAACCGCATTTGCTCCAATCCCTCAGACAGAGAAACACCTACAAGAGCTCTATCAAGCATTCTTAAAACTACAATACCACCTGCTGAAGTGAAGAAACAGATTGACAGAGCCAGAAGAATACCCAGAAGTCACCTACTCCAGGACAGGCCCAACAAAGGAAGTAACAGAACGCCACTAGCGTCACCTTCAGCCCCCAACTCAAACCTCTCCAGCGCATCATCGAGGATGCCTGTAGTGAAGAGACACTGGGTGCCCAGATCTCTTTGGTCAGGGAGACTGGCATGCTGCATGGGGAAAGCATAGTACTCTTGGCCTTGGGGAAAGCATAGTACTCTTGGCCTTGGGAAAATTTAAAACAACTGTGCCTTTGGCGGAAGTGCACTTAGAATGGGAAGGTATAGAAGGCATTTTAAAAGTTGGCATGCTGGATTGCATTCCAGCAGGAGTTCATTCAGGTAATGCTGTATTACTATGTCCAAGGCTGTTAATTATGGTACCCATTGCAGACAGAAATATTGCTCTGTGATCCCAGGAGGGAACAGTGAAGACAGAGGAACAGCTAAAGGATGAGGGGACATCCCACCCCAGCTTAGAAGAGGGAAGCAGTCTCCAGGGACAAGGAAGGAGGACCCACTCCCAGTGGAGGAAGCAGCTCTCAGAGCTGCAGCAGGCAGGAATTTGCAGCAGAGCAGACAGAAGACCCATCCTTAGAAAGCACCATCAGAATAATCTCTGGGGGGAGTCCAGCTAGGGGAAACGGGGAAGGGTTTTCTGAAGAAGAGGAAAGATTGTACAGGGAAGCCCTGTAGAGGCTCTGAGATGCCTTATAAGAAACTTGTGCCAGTTAAACATAATAGGAAGCTAATGATGTTAGCCCACAATTGTCCTTTTGCTGGTCACTTGCAGACTTAAAAGGACTTATGAAAAGATAAGAAGGAATTTTTATTGACCAAATATTCGGAATGAGGTGAGAGACTATTGCAGGTCTTGTGACTTGTGCCAGGACCAGAAGAGGCCAGTATGGTCTTACAAAGCTCCCCTGCAACCCTTACTTGTTACTTACCTGCAACCAAGGAGGCAATTCTTAGGGTTCCAACAAATATTGTAGCTCTTTGCCCCAGCAAAACCAAAGGGGAAAACATTTTGATGAAAATGGATTATGCCACTACGTATCCAGAAGCAGTTGCTTTAACATAGAGATTGATATAGTGGCAAAAGCCCATTTCACTATTTTCAGCCAAGTAGGTTTTCCGAAAGAGATTTTGTCAGATTGTGTGTAAAATTTCACATCCCAAATATTCAGTGCATTGTGGAGGATGTGTGATTTAAAACAGCTGAAGGCTGCCCCATATCACCCAGAGACGAACAGTTTGGTTGAAAGGTTCATAGGGACACTGAAATCTATGCTGGGAATGTATGCAAACAAAAGGGCAAAGGGCTTGGGATGAAAAATTACTCTGTTATTTGTCTTTAGGGAGGTGCCCCAAGAGTCCACAGAGTTTTCCCTATTTCATCTCCTGTATAAGAGAAAAAAGTGACAGGACACCTAGATCTTATCAGGCCCTTCTGGGAGATGGGTATGGAATCAGAAGGAGAACCAGCGATTGGATATGTACAAAAGTTCAGAAAGGAGTTAAGACATGCTGGACGTGGTTCAAACTAACCTCATGGATAGCCAGACCACACAAACAGCATAGTATGATAAGAATGCTTGAAGTTGTGCTGTTTTGAGGAGGGGGGTTGGTAATACTACTGAAACTGCTCTCTGTAAAAAGGGAGCAAAATGCAAAATTCATGGGAAGGTTGTGGAGAGAGAAAATCAAGTCATGTACAGTGTAAAAAGACCCCACAGCAAGAAGAAAAGGAGTACTTGTGGCACCTTAGAGACTAACCAATTTATTTGAGCATAAGCTTTCGTGAGCTACAGCTCACTTCATCGGATGCATCTCACGAAAGCTTATGCTCAAATAAATTGGTTAGTCTCTAAGGTGCCACAAGTACTCCTTTTCTTCTTGCGAATACAGACTAACACGGCTGTTACTCTGAAACCCACAGCAAGGTTGCCCACAGACAGTGCATGTGAATAGACAAAGCCTATCACAATACAGAAGTGACTGTGAATATGCTTTGTTGTGATGACAGGGAGTCTGAGACTTGACACTTCATTGATCTGGTGACTGAATGCCCCAATGACTCATCATTTGAAAGCACGGAGATATGCAAAGAGCTAACAGACAGAGAGGGAAGAAATCTTGGCTGAAAGACACAAGCAGATATTTTCTAACATGCCAGTGATGACTCATAAAATGGTCCACAAGACGCTGTGGATCCCCAACCTGCACCTCGCAGGGCATACTGAACCACTGGGAAAGTGCACTAGCAAATTCATAAAGCAACACAGAGTATTCAGAATATGGGATCAAGTATCAGGGGGTAGCCGTCTTATTCTGTATCCACAAAAAAAACAAGGAGTCCGTTGGCACCTTAAAGACTAACAGATTTGGGCATAAGCTTTTGTGGGGTTTTTTTAATCACGAAAGCTTATGCCCAAATAAATCTGTTAGTCTTCAAGGTACCACCAGACTCCTTGTTGTTTTTTGGGGTATGGGAATAATTAAAGAGTCTGACAGTTCCTGGGTATCTCCTGTGTTGGTTCCTAAGACAGATAAGACTGTAAGGTTTGTGTTGATTATAGAAAATGCCATATTGTCACAGTTTCTGATGCCTATCCTATGCCCAGAATTGATAAAATGTTATATTTTGCTTTGCCCAAAGTATCTCTTAGCACAACTGATCTGGTAAAAGGATATTGGCAGATTCCTTTGGACAACGATGCATAGAAGAAATCTACTTTTATTACTAATATGGGTATAAACTTCATGAGTTCAAAATGTTATCTTTTGGATTAATTAATACAGGAGCCACTTTTTAGAGGCTTGTCAACCAAGTGCTAAACAGATTATGAGACTTCACACGATAATATAGCGATGTTCAGCTACTCTTGGTTACTTCACAAGAGACACTGGAGGGCTGTACTTTCAAAACTCAGAGATGGAAGTCTTACTGTGAAGGTCTTTAAATGTACAATATGAGCAATAAAGGTTCCTTATTTGGGATACTGTGTAAGAGGGTGGCCAAATCTCTCCTGATCCCTTGAAAGCAGAAGCTATTAACAACTGACCTGTGCCCCAGACCAAAAAGCAGGCCCAATCTTTCATAGGCATGGTTAACTATTACTGCTGATTTCTGCAGGAGTTCATTGACATTATGTCTGCTATCACAGACTTCTGCAAGAAGACAAAGCCAAACAGAGTGGTGTGGACAAAAGTTTGTCAAGAGAGTTTTGATAAAGAAAAATCTCGTCAGAAAAGCCTATTGTGGCCAGTCCAGATTTTGACAAAATGCACATGAATGCATCAGACATTGGTTTAGATTCAGTTCTAATGCAGTCGGGAAAAGTAACAAAAAGCAGTCCACTGCTTTCTGAAGTAAAGAAGTTGGCACCCACCAAACAGAATTACTCTGTCATAGGAAAGAGTGGTATGCCATTGTATGGCGTTATCATGCACTTAAGGCCTTTTCTCTAACAGAAAATTCAGGGTTCTAACTGACCCCTCTCCATCAGTTTGGTTACACAGAACCAAGGGCACCAATTCCAAACTGCTGCGGAGGTGTAGGATGTTCCAAGAATATATGGAAATTGTGCATATTAAAAGGGAAAGAAAATATAGTGGTATATCTCTGTCCAGGAAAGAGGATTCTGATCCACTGCCTACTGTTCAGCCTACGGCTGACCCTCCCACAGCACTGTAAGAGGTATGACCCTTGCAGCCCCTCAGTGCTAACTGGCAGAGGCCCCTCCATATTGTAATTCATATTAGACCTGACACACTCATTACCCCTCGACATACTTTTGTCATAATATGTATGTATTATGGGGTCATGTATCACATGTAAATTGGTGACATGCTGGTCCCAAAAATCACTGTGTGATGTACGTACAGATTATGTACGAAGAGTCGTATACGTGTCCTGGAAATGTTTTCTTAAAATGTGTTTGGGAGGTGGTGCAAAAAATCAGCCTGCCCTCCGCAAAGGAATGTGTATTTACCTGCCTAACTAGCTTGATAACTGGCAAAGAACAATGAAAATACATTTACATGCACAGCAGAAAAAGCTATCAAGTTAACAAGCTATGGGGGAAGGAGCTTAGTGAGCTCAGTAGGGGGACCGGAGGGGGGGTGGGGTGGGGGAAGCGTTTCCTGGCTCTTGAGGTCTAGAAAATGGGCTTTGGGTAATATAAGGGGAGCAGGTTAGACAGGGATGGTCTATGTATTCTGCCTCAGTAGGAGGGCGGGACTTGAGGTCCCTTCCAGTTGGACATTTCTATGATTCTGTCTGGTCTGGCTGCTGTCAGAGACAGGATTCTGGACTATATGCACCACAGGACTGGCAATTCTTGTGAAGCCAGATTCCCTGAAGGTTGGAGAAGCAGGAAAACATGACACACATTAGAAATTCAGCCTCTCAGACAGCTAGACATTTTTCAGTTTCTAGCGTATAAACCCTGTCATTTTTGTACTGTTGCAGCCCCTGTTTCAGGGCTAAGATATTCTCTCGTCCCAGCAGCACAACTTAAGAATAAACTGACATTTCCCACAGGGTGGGAAACCCAGGCCACCACCGAACCACGGTCCAGACACTGAACTGAATTGAGTGTTGCTGAACTGACCCTGTTATACTGTCTCCCCTGCTCCTCACCCCCAACCCACTTATTTGTCCTATCTTACCATTTTACCTTTTAGACAGTCAGCTCTTTGGGGCAAGGACTGATTTATTGTGTGTTTGTACAGCACCTTGTACAATGGAGCCCAATCTGATTGTGGTGTTTGGGAGTTAGTACAACATGTATAAGATAGCGGGTAGAATAGCTACACAATGCTGAAGCAGCAAAGTAGCATTTCTGCTCTCAGAAAGGAGGAAACCCAAATCCAGCACTGTGAATTAGCAGACCCAGGTGCAACAGTAACAGATATTCTGAGACTGGGCAAGGTTAGATTGCACGTACATTTTAAATGTACACTTACAAAGTAAAGAGCAATGTGAAAGAGAGAGTAGGGGATTAAATTACTAGAGGCCAAGTTAAAGTTCGTTCTGAATTGGCTAACAGCACGAGGGCTGACCAACTTCTCCCTCCACCAGGAGGGGCTGATGCCTTCTCCAACCCTGTCCCTAGCGCTAAGACTTTAGCCCTTTGAGCATTCTATGCACATATAAAGGATACTATAGAAACACCACAGACACTAAGAAGGAAAATGCCGAATGAATTGAAACAGCTTCAATTAAAACGGTCAGCTGTACCTGTAGTAATGCCAGGTCAGCATCCTGAGCCAACTGCTGCAGATTCTTCACAGCAGAGGTAGTTTTAATCACTCTCACCAGGGCCGGGGAACAGTCCAATGGGAGCTCATTAAGCAACGATTTCTCATCATTCAGTAGTAATAAGGCATGGTAAGGCCTGTAGAAAGAACATTGCCATCTGTAATTGCTTCTTTCTTGAAGGATGAGGATACCTCACTATGGCAGAGACCTGGAACATGTGGTCAAGCTACTGGCAAAATAGACCATCTGATACTGTGATAGCTATAGCGAAGGACTATATTCACAGTTAGTTCATTCTTGTTTATGTCACGAGACAAGCTGCCTTCTGTCAAAGAGTCTTAAGCCTCTATCACCATTTGGAAAGCCTAAAAGCTAGCCAGACAGGTAGACAGATTGTGGTCCCAAGGGAGCAGGGATGAAATGCACACACCTCACTGTGCACTGCTGATCAGAACTGGGCACTAAAAATGAAAGTAATGAAGCAGGTGACTTTTACAGCTAAACCTCCATAGAACAGCGGGAAACAAAAATGCGACCAAAAAACCTACAGGAAATACCAATCCTTCTGAATTTAGTTACTTCATGGAACTGTGATATGGACAAGAAATCACCTCAACGTGAATATGGTTAAAATGAACTGTTTGCTTTTAAGGATGGCACTTTGAATGGGGAATATCTTGCAATAACCTCTAAGACAAGATCTTTCAACTGTAAACAATGCAGAAGCTGGCTGCTGCATTACATTGAAACCTCAGCATTGCCACCGAGTGTGTTCAGTCAATAACAGTGCTACAAATACCTGGAAAAAAAAGTCTTGGCACAAGAGAATAGGCTGGGGCGCAGAGCTTAGTTTCAGCTCATTATCACCACTTAGAGAACCAAAATGGGCTCTAATTTTCACACCACACCACACCGACACAGTCCATTTCCAAGATTTGGGAGCACAAAGAAAATAGTCAATCTTCATTATTTTCTGTAACATTTCTCAGGAAGGCTGTAAAGTGTTTGGGTCAATCAGAACAAAGGGAGAGAAGTCAAATGTTAGTGTCAGAAAGGCACAAGAACATGCAGGCACTGAAGAACGGGGTATATTTACCTAATAGCTTTCAGGCTTCTTTCAATCGCTTCAGGAGGTATAAAGCTTGTTGCAACATAATGGATTTTATGAGGCAGACAGAAACTCACTTCAAGCCAGTTGTTGATGTGCAATCTCACCACCCCTGTAGTGCAAAGACTTAAACAAAAAATAAATAAAATATAAAATAAATACAGCATTTGCTGCCTTTCTCCTGAGTAAAAGCGATGAGCCAGATTCACCCGTGCTGATGCCAGAACAACAAGAGAGGAGAGAGACTGCACCTCCCTCCTTTCAGCAGCTGCCAGGGACCAATTTGACTCTAGTCCAGGGGTGGACAAACTTTTTGGCCTGAGGGCCACATCAGGGAATAGAAATTGTAAATGGCGGGACATGAACACTCACAAAATTGGGGTAGGGGTGCGGGATGAGAGGTTTGGGGTGCAGGAGGGTGCTGGGATCGAGGGGTTTGGAGAGCGGGAGAGGGATCAGGGCTGGGGCAGGGGGTTGGGGCTTGGAGAGAGGCTCAGGGGTGCAGGCTCCGAGCAATGCTTACCTCAAGTGAATTCCGGAAGCAGTGGCATGTCCCTTCTCTGGCTCCTACGCGTGGAGCAGCCCCCAACCCTGCTAGAGCGCCAGAGCGGGGCCATGCAGCTGCTTCCAGGAGCTGCGTGGTGCAGCCCCCAGAGCCTGTGCCCCAGAGCGGGGCTATGCCCCGGCCCCCAACCCAGCACCCCCGGCTGCAGCGCCAGAGTAGGGAAAGCTCCAGACCCTGCTCCCCAGCTGCCCACCCCTGCTCTGGTCCATAAGGCCTGCTTTAATTTGTCTCTTATAGGCTGTTGCATGGTCACAGAATCATACGAATGCCCCAATCACTCTCCCTCTCTCCCTCCTCCAGCTGGCCCTCACCCCACACCAATGCACCAGGCAGGGAGGAGGATCTCCTGTAAATGTGATGCAGAGGCCCTGTGGTGGGGTGTTCCCAAGGGAGGTATGGTGGGACTGGAGGATGGCACACGGGGCAATGATGAATTGGGCCCAATGTTTCCATCGTAATTTTACCGTATGATAAAGAGGGAGGGAAGTTCCCTTACTGCTCTTTAGGCATTACAGAGCAACATGTCACCACAACACTGATTCCATAGATTCTACCTAGGTGGCGTGTTTCCCATTGACCTGCTCCTGCTTGTCACAGGAAATCATGAAAGTTGCTGTTAAATAGTTCCTTCATTCTAGGAAAGCACAGCAGCTAAAACTAAACTTTTAAACTTCCCAAAAGAACAGGATTGAAGTGGAGAGAATATGCACTTCAGGAAAGATAATGAAGTCTGATCCCAGTGTTTGGCTGGAAAGCAGCTTTAAGTATCTTTTATTTACTACCCCTAGAAAGTAGAACACATAGCAAGCAGGGAGTTTGGGGCAGCCGGCTTCACTCAAGCAGATCTGTGTTCTTGTTTTTAGACAGTGACATATTTACTCCTTATCTTTATGGCATTCACTACCTCCTCCACCACCCAAGTACAAGCACACTTGGGTGAAACACCCCACCCTCTCTGTATTATAAACATATCTGCTCAAAAAGTCATTTCTCGTGACTTGGGTGTGCTGGCTGAGGCCATAAAAAAAGCTGATGTCCCATCCAGGCCAGCTGACATCAGCATTTACATTAAACAGTTCCTAAAACAGAGCCTGAAAATCAGTTCAGTACATGGAGCCCTAAAACACTGTCTCTAGCTGCAGGACTATCTGGATTCAGAACCACAGAGGTCACCAAAAAACCTCGGTTCTCTCTGGATTGCATTTTTTAGGGTTTTGGTTTTTTAATACATTACACAATATTTTCAAAAAGGTTCTATATTTAAATGATTTCTCTGACAAGCTGTATTCAAAGCACACTCCCCAACAAAGTTGTTAAAAACTGACAAAGCCAAGTAATGCACATGCCAAGAAAGAGGCAGTTAATCAACCTCAGGAGGCTTGGCTTAAGGGCAGGCAGTGTCCCACTTCCCCTGGATTTTCGAAACCACCAAACACTAGGAATAAAGTTGTAGAGTCTTTGCCAAAGTCTCACTTCCAGACAACCCAAAAGGAAATGTCATCTATGGAGCACCACCTCTGCCAATCCAGGGCTCTCCTTTGGGAATTGATCATTTGCTCTAAAACATTTCAGATCATTTGCTCTAAAACCAAATTAGAAAAAGAACTTACATTTACCCAACCAGTGTGAAAGAGGGGTCACACTAATCTCCTGACTGCTGGCTAGTTGCCAGGTTTTTGACCAACGGGAACCAGTGGTTTGCAGGCTGCTCTGCTGATGATGCCAGTGCAGAGCAGAGAGGGAAGTTTATTGCCAGAAGCACTATTAATCAAAAGTGGGTGCCTTAAAATTAGCTACCTAACTACATTCAGAGCCAAGTGGCCTGACTTTCAGCCGTTCTGAAAACCTACGGCTCCCGCTAGCCTATGGCTGAGCATCCGTGGTTTTAAATTTTACACCAAAGATTACATTTTTGAAATTTTTGGCCAATTTTTTTTTAAAGTTTAAAAATTTAAAATCAAAGGTACTGTACACCAGTACAGCAGAGAGATTTGAGTGATAAGTGTACAAACAGGAACACGAGAATATTGGTTTCTGGCTCTGAGAATTGAGAATTAAAGTCCAATAATTTTGTTAGTAGTTTTTGGAGCTGTGCTTTTTCTTTGTGCCAGACACTAGATCTCAGCAGAAGCAAGTCCAGTAATAAAAGTGTCACACAGAAACAGCCCAAGAATTTCCCCTTATCTCTGTGCAAAAAGCATTACAACACCGCACTGCACCCAAAGCCCTGGGGTGCACTTCGCTGCTTGGCAGTGGCCGGGCTGTGAGGGTGTGTGTTTTTCCTCTGATACCCTCATTTTATGTCAATCTTCAAAACAGTCAAAAATATCATAAAATAAAATAAAACAAAACCACCTTAATTGAAAATCCCATTTTAAAAATTAAGCATTGCAAAGTTTCATTTAAATAAATTTCCTAATTATTCTCTGAACAGGTGCACATAGACATTTTCCTGCCAGTATGACTCAGCCTAGAGCTGGCAAGCCCAATTCTCAGTTCAGTATAAAGCCTTTTCATATTGCAGTCATTCTACTGAGACAGCCACCAAAGGAGCTAATTATGTGCCGTTATGTGCTCACATGCTCCTTATGGGCACATGAGTCCCATCAATAGCATCACCACCATTAGGAAACAGGGTGGACAGAAGAGTTTCCCCACAGTGCACCATGTTTCTAAGGCTACAGCAGGGGTGGGCAAACTTTTTGGCCCAAGGGCCACACCTGGGTGGGGAAATTGCATGCAGGGCCATGAATGTAGGGCTGGGACAGTGATACTGAAGCGAGTGCAGGGTATGGGAGTGGGTGTCGTGTGCAGGAAGGGGCTCAGGGCAAAGGGCTGGGGCGCAGGAGGGATGCGGGGTGTACAAGGAGGCTCAGGGCAGGGGGTTGCGGTGCAGGAGGGGGGTACAGAGTGCGGGACGGGGCTCAGGGCAGGGGCTGCAGGAGGGATTTGGGATGCAGGCTCCGGCCCGGGACCGCTTACCTTGAGCGGCTCTGGGGTGGCAGTGGTGTGCAGCAGAGCTAAGGCAGACTCCTTGCCTGCCCTGGCTCTGCGCCGCTCCCAGAAGCAGCCGGCACCACGTCCCTGCGGCCCCTGGGGGAGGGAGGGGCAGAGGGCTCCACGCGCTGCTCTCGCCTGCAGGTACCTCCCCAAAGCTCTCATTGGCTGCAGTTCCCCATTCCCAGCCAATGGGAGCTGCAGGGGGCGGTACCTGCAGGCGAAGGCAGCATGAGGAGCTCTCTGCCCCCCTCCCTAGGGGCCGCAGGGACATGGTGCCGGCCACTTCTGGGAGTGGCGTAGGGCCAGGGCAGGCAGGGAGCCTGCCGTAGCCCCGTGGCGCCATGGGGGTGGCAATCCCGCTGGCTGGATCCAAAGCCCTCATGGGCCAGATCCAGCCCGTGAGCCATAGTTTGCCCACCTCGCGCTACAGTGTCGACATGGGGTGGGGGGCGCTAGACACTTCAGGATACCTTTACTTTGATTCGGGTCTGTGCACTTCAGTGTGGATGCCAGAACCCAAGGTTTGAGCATGAGTCAGAAAATTCTTAACCTATTGTTAAAATTAAATGTAGACATTCAAGCCCAGGGTTCCCAACAGATCACCTAACTCAAGTCCCACTATCCCTAAGTTTACATTGCTGTGTAAACAATAGCCTAAATTACCAAATATTCCACCCCAAGTCATGAATTCGCATAACAATTTTCAAATTTATCTGACTGTATGTAGTGTTTACAGAAGTCTGAAAAGTCAGCTTTAAACTGAAGCTATGTTACAGATTTAGCTAGAGTGCAGCTTCTTGCCACCCCATAACAGAGAAGTAATGGAGCAGAACAGGATTCTGTTCTGTGTTGTGCACCATCAAACTCGTTAGCTAAGATCTCACCCCAGAATCATTACTGGTAATGATCTGAGCTGCAGAAAGACCACAGCTTTACTCTCAGATCCCAGGCTGAACTTGAAGACCTGGTAGATAGAAAAATCCATTACTTGTAAATTAAGCAGATTTGATATGGAAGCCACTAAGAGTTGGAAGCCACTCTCACACATTCCTGAATCCCACATCCAGTCAGCAGCCAGAAGCCTTTAAAGGGCATCCAAAATTACACCACAGTACTACAAACTCCCTGGTTTTTCTTGGGCTTAAAGGATGAAATTTAAAACACACTTGTTTATCCTGGCTAAGGAAGATCCAGCAGATTCACCCACAATTGACGTACATTTGGTAACAAGCCATCAAGAGTGAACTCTTAAAATACAGCACAGTCATACAGTATTCTGGATATAACATTCACTCACACTGTTTACAATGCTCAAAGGAAACATGAAAATAAAAATGGACTCCGCAGAACAAATTATTAGGGGTGGGATCCATGAAGGGACTTAGGCACTGGAACTCAAGAGTCACAGTGCCTAATTTTTAGGTGTCTAGAAAAAAAACTGTGATCCATAAAGATGAGTTAGGTACCATGGGTCCCTGAACAATGAACAGGGAGGGACAGACACCTAAGAATGCAATCCACAAAAGCCAACAAGCTATTCCAAAGCTGCCTAAGCTAGCCAAAGGTAGATGCCAGCAAGAGGGGTGTGTGCTAAGGCCCACCCCTCTGTCAAACAAGCACCTAAGTCTGTGCTGGGGGGGAGGGGAGGGGAAGGGAGCAGAATGAGAATGAGCCAATGAGAAAGAGAGACACTCTGTAGTCCAGTGGTCAGGGCACCCACTGGGAGGTGGGAGACCTAGGCTTCAGTCTCCCTGCTTCAATGGCTATGTATTTATCCACAATGGAACAACTTCAGCAGCCTAGATTGACAGGTTTCAGAGTAACAGCCATGTTAGTCTGTATTCGCAAAAAGAAAAGGAGTACTTGTGGCACCTTAGAGACTAACCAATTTATTTGAGCATAAGCTTTCGTGAGCTACAGCTCACTTCATCGGATGCATACTGTGGAAAGTGTAGAAGATCTTTTTATACACACAAAGCCCACATCAGTATATCGCATAGCTCAGTAGTTAAGAGTATTCTCCTGAGAGGTGGGAAACACCCTATTCAAATCCTTTCTTTCTCTTTGGCAGACAGGAGTGAACTGAACCGAGCGGTAGTGGGGAGCCCAGGCAGCAACCTGGAGGGGAGAGGGGAGCCAGGACCCTGAGGGTACCCCGGCTCCAAGCAGAGAGCCCAGGCAGCAGCCCAACTGGGAGTGAGGAGCTCACCAGGCTCTAACTGGAGCCCCTCCCCCCCCCAATCTGGAGGTGACAGCCCAAGCTGTGAGCTGCTTTCTGAATGACAGCGAACAGCCGATGTAAGTAACCTGCAGTGTCTACACAGACACTGTCACCCTAACTATACCGACATAAGCCCTACAACTCTTGTGGAGGTGGAATTATGATGCTGGTGTAGCAGGGCACTTACATCATCAGCAGGAGCAAGGCTATAGTGTGTACATGGACATAATTAGGTCGACCTAACTTTGCAGTTTAGACCAGGGCTAAGTAATAACATCTGAATCCAAAATTCAATGTATTCAATTATCTACATTAAAGTGAATGAGTAATAGTTGTAAGTGCAAGAGTAAGTGTCCACTAATTTTGGTTGTCCACTATGATGCCCTGAACATGATTTTCAGAGGTGATGAGCACCACAGTTCCAATTAAATTCAACACAGACACTCAGCACTTGTGGAATATCAGATCTGAGATGTCCCAAACTGGGTATCCAAAATTTGTAGATACTTATGAAAATTTTGGCCTTAACTTCTGCGCCTGTTTCTCCATATGCAAGATACAGATAATTATATCTACTCACCTTTTTACACCACTTCATCTACAAGTAGAGTGTCCTATAGACATGTTTATTAGATGCTATTCAAAATGTACCCTAGGAAGCGGATTATAGTCTTGTGTTGGTAGCCTGCTCTTTGAAATACAAAGCAGTAGCCATTTGGAGCATTGAATAAGATGTACCCCTTTTTGCATGTACACTACTTGTTATCTGTTATTTATGGCTTTTGGACCAAGCATTGCCATGCACTATGGCTGTTATTGTGTCAGTACATCAGCCTTATTCACGTGGTGATGTTGTAATTATTTTGACCTCTTAGTAGCCTCTTCTACTGAGCCATGGAGACCAGTTTGTGTATAAGTAGTCTCTGGGCTTGTCCAGATGACTAGTCAGTGCACTGCAAGGTGGGCTGTAAATCTACAACATACTAGCAAGTCACGCACTAACTGGCCACGTGGACCTTGCTACTGTGCACTAAAAATTCCCTAGAGTGTGCTGATCTACTCTGCTTTGAAACACTCCAACCTGCCACACACTTAAACTAGCCATCTAGACAAGCCCACTGTCTCAAAACCTTTTGTGGTGTACGTATCACTTTTGCTCTGTATTTCACCTTAGAAATTTCTACAAAGCCTGCCTATATTGTGGGGACATCTGACATTTTGAGAGACAAAGTTGAAACAAAATGTTAACAGAGAGACAACACCCTCATGAAGATTTTCTCTATTTTTGTTCATTCTTTCTTTGGTTGTCAGCCTTCCCCTAAAAGAAATCAGTCAGCCTGAAAGTGTGTGGTTGCTCTTGTATGAAAAACCTATCTGGAAAGGGATGGAAACAGTAGAGCCCCACTAGAACAGATAGAGGTTTTGAAGAAGAAAATATCAAGTGGTGGGCTGGTGTAAACCTAACAAAGCTTCTCTGCAGCTGTAGTTTAAACTATGGCAAACAGTCTGTTCGGTTACCTAAATTTGGACTAGTGGGAGGGTTTAGGTTTTATGATGAGTGCATGTTTGCAGCTTAGAAGTGAGCTGTAGCTGAGATATTTTGGCCTTCAAGCCATAGCTTTTTGTTCACGTTGTAGGCAGAGTTGTGTGAAAAATGTCTGAGGATCCCAAACGCATTAAAATCTTTTGAACTAATCATTAAAAACCCCTGCTTTCTGAGGTTCTCTTCTACAGTCATTAGGAGATCATGGGAACTAATGCTATAACTACCTGTAATCATGACAGCCCACCTAATTTATACCGCAATTAAAAAGATAGGAGCATTCAATGCATTTTGAGCTGTGACAAAAGGTTCCGATTTTTATACATCTCATGACACAGAATGAAGCACTACGGATATGTCAGATCTGACTTGAAATACTCCAGTGCCATCTAGTGGGGAGCACCTTGTAGGAAAATACTTTGAAACAATTGCATCCCCCTCAGTTACAGCACCACAGCTCCAATTAAAGTCAACTCAGGTTTGGCACTGCTGAAAATCAGGTCCAAGATGTTTCAAATTGGGCATCCAAAAAATCAGTGGATGTTTCTGACTTGCCCAAGTGAGCCACTGGCAGAACCAGAAATAGAACCTGGTTCACAACTCCATGTGCCCTATCTACTGCACCATGCTGCTTCCCAGGAGGTAAGCTGCCAGAAATTCATACACAATTAAGACAATAATTGGCTACTATCAAGATTTATAACTATTTAATTGCTTTGCCCACCTCAGACTAATCAAAGAGATACAAAGCATATAATGTTGTAAACAACTGTAATTGTACAGTGATGCTGATACAATGCCATAAAAGCAGACTCTAAAGATATAAAGCAAACAGCACTTGGTGAGGAAACCATCAAACAAGTTCATTCCAGCTTTAACTGGGATAGACTCTAGTAACGCCTTCAAATCAGAAATAAGCTAGGTAAAATAATTAAAGACAAGATTCCATTGAGCAATGCTCCTTGTCAAGGTGAGATAATGTGGCAGAAGTTTCCACTACAGCATGGATTACAGCTGGGGGGAGGAGGGGACCTACTTCCCCCAGATAGTCCCTGTCCCAGAACACGTCTATCTCAATGGATGGCAGCTGCTAGTACATTGGGAAAATTGTGTTGGCACCGCTGCTATGTATTATCCGTCCTTACCATGAGTTTTGGTCCTAGATTCAAAATTCTCTCAGTCACTGTTCTCAGCCACTAGATGTCACTGTATTACTGGGCAGTCCCCATAGTCTATCATTCAGTGGCAACCTTAGTGAGTCACAAATAAATAATTCAGAAGGAAGGCAGAACAAGAAGTGAGTGAGAATTGGATATTCAAAATCCAGGCCAGGAAAAATGTTTTACAGGATTCACACCAAATCCAGATTCTGCAGCTTCTTTCAAAGGGGCCTGAATTTCTTCCAGAAGTTTAAGTTCAAAAGCCATTAATATAGAAGATTTTTGACAATCCATTCCTATCTAAAATGCTTCTCTGGCCCCCATTACAGTAGTATTTAATCATGGGTCTTTAACATATTTATCCTCACAACAATCCTGTGAGGTAGGAAAGTGCTACTACCCCTTTCTGAAGATGGAGAACTTTAGGTCCATAGAGATTAAGTGACTTAACCAAAGTCACCCAGGGAGTCTGTGGCAGAGCAAGGAATTGAAGCCTGGCCCCTAAACACTGAGTCAACCTTCTTGCTCTACTTATCTGCCAAGGCCCCTGGTTCAGGGTTCTCTTCTCCCCCTGCTGTGGTAGCTATTGTCACCAACACATGCTAGTGCACCAAATCCAGCCCTTTGCTCTGCATTAAGGGGTTAGCAATGCCATAACTGTCAGAGCAGAAAGACACACAGGCTGGAATTTTCAAAAGGAGCCCAAGGGAGATGGGTGCCCAACTCCCACTGAGATTCATGGGAACTGAGCTTTTAACTCCTTTAGACATCTTTGAAATCCCAGCCAGAACCATCAACTGGTCAGGCTTTGACAGGTTGCAGTTTATATGCTGCTAAAGGCCTCGCTCATTCAGGCTTTCATGCGCGCACAGTGTAACCAAGTGAGGTGGGGGCAACCTGTGGAACTGCCAACTATGTTACATGGGGCACTGCATAAAATTGTATGTTTTGGGTGCTTGCTGGGAGAGCTGCTGCCCAAAATGCTGCTTTGCAAATAAGTTGTCATTAGGCCTCTTGCCAGCCAGGGAAGAGTAGCACAGTTCTTGTAGCCATGACAAAGACTCCTATCAAGCCTCATAGAAGATAATCCCTGGGATATCCCACTGGAGAGACCAAGACAGCAACTTGGTCTCCATAATGTTTCTGATTTACTCCGACAGCTAAACTCCATATTGCTACAAATCTCCACCTGGTTTAACTTCAAAGCCCAAAGGACCACTCACTTTTTGGGCTCTATACTTGTTCATGTTCACTGCCTGGTATGAGACGGACTCAAACACAATACAAAAATAAAGGCAAACCTCCTCTCTGAACTGGTGTCTCCAGTGATCCGAAAATCACTAATGGGAAGAGACACATAAAATCAGATGAGTTAGTGATAATATACAGGTCAAAGACTTTTCACCAAGAAGCAGAATAGCATGGGCTATCAGAAGGACTCCTCTTACCTGTCATAAGCCTCCTTGAGGTCTCTGGCCAGCTTGCACTTGGGCAGAATGTGATGGAAAGGTGATTGCGGACCTTCTGCTGCTATGGGAAGATTAAAACAAAAAAGCATTCACCTGTTTTCAAAGCAGAGAAACCTTGCTTTCAGACGGTCAACTGAATTTTGCACAATTGTAATAGCAGATTCTGTGGACAGATTAGACAGTGACAGATTCAAGTCCGTTTAATCCACATTCACCTTTTACAGTTGTTGTTTTTCAATTAAGCAAAAGTAATAAGAACGTCTTTTTGAATCCCAACTTTATGCAATATGGGCATCTTCACTAATCTGAGGAGCAACTACTTCTTTGTTTTTACTTCTAAGTTTTAGTTTTTAATGCTTGTAGCAAGACAATACATGTTGTACCCCTGTGAAAGTAAAGCAAGGCACATACACATTTAAGAGGTTAATGCTGATTTATTAGTAAAGCTCCAGAAATTCACTCCATACTCTAACTGTAACAGCTCATGCAACTGGCCCACTCTCAACAGAATTGGGATTCTTAGGTTACAACACAGCAAGTAACGCTTTCAAAAGTGCATAGGTCCCACTGACTTTCAATGAGACCACAGGCTCCTAAGTGTCTAAGTCACTTTTGAAAGTGAGACAGGTTCTTTTGAAAATTTTACTGAGTGACCTTAAAAAGGGGGACATCTTCATAACAGGTTGAAACAATGCCATGTTACTATCTACACTAGTCATGGAAACTCTACATGCGAAATAGAAAGATCCCTCTTGAGGATGGCCAGAGGGCTTGGCATACAGGGTCACAGAATGGGAAACCTGGATTTGATTACCCGAGGGCTTTCCCACATCTGGATAGCAAATGCACCAGAAGGCACATCTGTATCACTCATACTCCTTCCCTAGTGAATGACAGGAGCAGAACTAGTCACAAAAGCAACTGAGATACTTCACTTGTAGAGTGGGGATCTCTATGTAACACAGGTGATCTCAGAGATAAGGCAAAGTGGAGTCAAAGGCAGTCTGAATGAGAAAAGCCACAGAACCCCATTCAAACTGGCCCTATTCATGGAGTGCCCTTTGTTTATACTCAAAAGCATGAGAAAGGCAAAAGAACAGCTACACTGAGATATTTGGGGATACCAGAAGAGCTGTCTCAGGTGAATACTTTAGTCTCCTGCAAACTGCAGTTTTGACTGTTTTGGGTTTCAAAAATATCAGATTAAAACTAAAGCTCCTTTGCAAACACCAGCTGTGGGCTCTGACAGGCGGGTCAGTGTGCATTAGAGGCTTTACCAACTATGTCAACCATGATTGCTTACTTTGGCTGAAGTTCATGCAGCCACCACCAGATTTTAATTCTCTTCACCTGACTCCGAACGTCACCTTGCACAGGAATCATGACAAAGAATCATGCACAAGCTCTGACTGTAGGCAAAGCCACATAGTGCAGACACATGATCCAATACTGAGACCTTGCTGCATTATGATTGGGTTTTCAGCATTAGCATTTTCAGTGACATTTTATACTGAGTTTATAACTACATGCCACAACATGGCAATAATTCAGAAAAGAGTGATAAACATCTTCCTTTAACACACAAAAGGGTTTGGGTTTTGTTTTCTTAAAAAACAAATGAACAAAACAAAATGACAAGCACAAGAAATTCTGCAGTAAGAGAGCTCTTTCAAAGCTCGGATACACATGGGAGTCTTTAACAGGAATTACAGAGAAAAAAGAACCATGATAGCACCTCAAGGGCTTGAGATTAGAGTAGGTCACCTCAGGGACTATAAGGGGAACGGAAAAGTAGAGATAAGGCCTGAGAAGGTCCATTTGTCCTGAATCATACACTGTAAGCAGCATTGTTCTAGCCATGTCAGTCCCAGGATATTAGAGACACAAGATGGGTGAGGGAATATCTTTAAAAAAAAGAGCTCTGTGTAAGCTTGAAAGCTTGCCTCTGACCAACAGAAGTTTGTCCAATAAAAGATATTCCCTCATCCACCTTGTCTCTCTGATTGAATCATAGTGAGAATCAGAAAGACTGTTATAGCAAATGGTCTGTGTGGGTTCTCCAGTACAACCCCTACTTTGTGGAAATACACACTTGGGCACATACCACCACAGCTCAGGAGCAGGGTTTCATTGGCTGCTGGGTTAGTAACTGGCATATAATATTGTAGTGACTTCAAGCATAGCACCACCCTCCAAAAATGAAAGCGCCTCTCTCAAAGATTTGCCCCATTTATTGTTTGGCTTTAACAATGGGACCCAATTATTGTAATAAATTATGTAAACTCTAAAGGATAACATTTTACACTGTTGCAGTATTCCTTTTTTAAACAACTCCATTCCAAAACTGGAACTAGTCTCATTCTTTCTTGCTCCTTTGTTTAAATGCACTATAATCTGGCAATTACATTCCAAGTAACTTCTCTCAAGCAGAACCTGGAAGTTATGCCAAGCAGTAAAGAGACGGCTTTTATACATGTACAAAAACGGACTAAGACAAGAGCCTGATTTTGCCCATGACCCCCAGTCACGTTGGAAACTCAAGGCTCCAGTTAAGAACATAAGAATTGCCATACTGGGTCAGACCAAAGATCCATCCAGCCCAGTATTCTGTCTACTGACAGTGACCATTGCCAGGTGTCCCAGAGGGAGTGCACCTAACAGGCAATGATCAAGTGATCGCTCTCTTGCCATCCATCTCCACCCTCTGACAAACAGAGGCTAGGGACACCATTCCTTACCCATCCTGGCTAATAGCCATGAATGGATTTAACCTCCATGAATTTATCCAGTTCTCTTTTAAACCCTGTTATAGTCCTAGCCGCCACAACCTCCTCAGGCAAGGAGTTCCACAGGTTGACTGTGCGCTGAGTGAAGAAGAACTTCCTTTTATTTGTTTTAAACCTGCTACCCATTAACTTCATTTGGTGGCCCCTAGTTCTTATATTATGGGAACTAGTAAATAAACTTTTCCTTATTCACTTTCTCCACACCACTCATGATTTTATAGACCTCTATCATATCCCCCTTTAGTCTCCTCTTTTCCAAGCTGAGAAGTCCTAGCCTCTTTAATCTCTCCTCATATGAGACTCGTTCCAAATCCCTAATCATTTTAGTTGCCCTTTTCTGAATCTTTTCTAATACCAGTATATCTTTTTTGAGAGGAGGGGACCACATCTGTACACAGTATTCAAGATGTGGGCGTACCATGGATTTATATAAGGGCAATAATATATTCTCTGTCTTATTCTCTATCCCTTTTTTAATGATTCCTAAATTCCCGTTTGCTTTTTTGACCGCTGCTGCACACTGCGTGGACGTCTTCAGAGAACTATCCACGATGACTCCAAGATCTTTCTCCTGATTAGTTGTAGCTAAATTAGGCCCCCATCATATTATATGTATAGTTGGGGTTATTTTTTCCAATATGCATTACTTTACATTTATCCACATTAAATTTCATTTGCCATTTTGTTGTCCAATTCCTTAGTTTTGTGAGATCTTTCTGAAGTTCTTCACAGTCTGCTTTGGTCTTAACTATCTTGAGCAGTTTAGTATCTTCTGCAAACTTTGCCACCTCGCTGTTTACCCCTTTCTCCAGATCATTTATGAATAAGTTGAATAGGACTGTTCCTAGGACTGACCCTTGGGGATCACCACTAGTTACCCCTCTACATTTTGAACATTTACCATTTATTCCTACCCTTTGTTCCCTGTCTTTTAACCAGTTCTCAATCCATGAAAGGATCTTCCCTCTTATCCCATAACAACTCAATTTACGTTAGAGCCTTTGGTGAGGGACCTTGTCAAAGGCTTTCTGGAAATCTAAGTACACTATGTCCACTAATTCTCCCTTGTCCACGTGTTTGTTGACCCCCGTCAAAGAACTCCAATAGGATTAGTAAGACATGATCTCCCTTTACAGAAACCATGCTGACTTTTGCGCAACAATTTGTCTTCTTCTATGTGTCTGACAATTTTATTCTTTACTATTGTTTCGACTAATTTGCCAGGTACTGACATTAGACTTACCAGTCTGTAATTGCCAGGATCACCTCTAGAGCCCTTCTTAAATATTGATCTTCCAGTCACTGAGTACAGTAGCTGATTTAAAGGACAGGTTACAAACCATAGTTAATAGTTCTGCAATTTCACATCCAAGTTCTTTCAGAACTCTTGGGTGAATGCCATCTGGTCCTGGTGACTTGTTACGGTTAACAAGATGTGAAAGGTTTGCTCACTAAGTCACTTTGTTACCCAGCTCCCAGGATTCCTGCTACTGCCTCACTGTTACTACACGTATGTACAACACTAACATTCTCAAACTATGGTAATCTGCATTTAAGTGGATTATTCATTAAATTAGCCAGTACCTGACTGACTATCCCATGTCGAAAGTACCCTTTGGTAAATAAGCTCCCCATTACCCTGAGTTCAGAACTCACTTTCTGACATGGCAGACACTTCATCCTGAATGGCTAGGATCAACTTGGCCTCTCTGGTCAGGTACTGGCAACGACGCTCCTCATGCTGTAGAACTATGGCAATTCGACGAGAGAGATTGTGTAAACAGTTGATCACTGATGGATCTGCGTTCGCCTACAGGCAATAGAAGAACAGACCTGGTCAATAATTCAGTAGCTGCCAAACACATGAAACTAGATGCAACATGAGTGTTGCACTGCTGGACAAGTTATTTTTAATAATTTTCATTAAAGATCATGAATTATCTTTAATAGTTAGGTTGGAGGTCAGCCTCCCTGGCAATTGTCAAGACAAAGGAGATTTCTCTGACTCACACAGTAGTAAAGCAGGAGGGCAGAGATCCGTAACTACAGCAAGTCAAACATACATAACTAGGCCAAGAAGTAGTCATGAAAATGATGAGGAGGGATCTCCAAGTTGGCATGTACAAAACAACAAACATAACCTATGGCATGATTACTCATTTTACTTGTGTATCTTCCTATTTGTTATTGGACCATTTACTAAAAGAAAGATTACAGAACAGACCTTCAGAGCATTAGAGGGAAACTTCACACTACTGAAAAAATTAAAAATATCAATAAATTCTAATACAAAAGCTCTGGAAATACAAGGATGACACAGCTTTTACCACAAGCTAATCTCTCTATACTGGAGCACTGGTGTTTGTTTTACCCATTTTAGTCAAACCTTAGGAAGCTTATTTACACTGACTGCAAATCACACAGTCACCATTATTTTAATTTTCTTCACCTGAATCAAAGCCTGGTCATACACAGGAATAGGGACAAATAATCATGCAAATACTCTGACTTTAGGTAGAGCTACATAGTGAAAACACATGCCCCAATATTCAGACATTATGACTAGGCTTTTGGCATTAAAATTTTCAACAACATTTTATGCTAATCACTAGAGAACTAAAAAGGTGCTATGGCACTTTTAATCCCAAAGAAAATGGAATTTGATTTAGGTTTACACACTTCTAACAAATATTACTTATTTAAAACATTCCATTTGTAGGCGTCCCTCTAGAATGAAAGTGCTGCAAAGCCTATCGGCCACAGACAGCTGAGAAGGTGGGGCTCACTGGTTCTAAGCCAGGAAGGGTGCAGTGAGCAGCTGCTCTATGTCTGTTAAGACATTTAAAGGAATTTAAGCTTCAGGCAGCAGATAACCTCACATCTAAACTAGAAAAGCATGAGTCAACATTTTTGCAGGCCAACATTTTTGCTGAGTCACAACACGTTGGTAGGGCTGAAACTTAGCACAGCAGAATCCCTGATTATAACATTTGGGTCTTAGCCTGTTCTGTCTGCTGCAGATGGACTCTCCCCTTTATCTTAGAGTACCTCCACCCACAACTTTGAGAAGTCATCTGCAGCAGTAACTCTGTTAGCAAAATTCCATTTGCCTTACATGTAGTATGTTCCACAGACAGTTCTCTACGAAGAGAAGGTCATTTTGGTAAATACAATGCAGTGCTGCTTAAAAAGATGGCAAAGTAAACTCCAACTGAATTACAAAGCCAGAATTTCTGCTTTTGTTCCCTGTACGAGGGCCATTCTCTAGATTCTAGAGAAATACAAGCTACACCAAAGTTGATGGCTTCACGGCAAATCACCAAGTTGTCGCATAGAGCATGTGAATGAATAAGCAATGTTTTCAACGTAAGCCAGATTCAGAATGATGTTTATATGTTTTAGATTTTCTGAATTGAATTCTGGGTAATTCCATCTCTCTATTAACTCTGTGAAACTCAAGCAGAAAACTCTGTCCCCCTCGTGAGGGAGAACTTAGTCATCACAAAAAAGCCAACAGCAAAGGACACATTAGTATAACAGAAAAACCTTTGTTTCACTGACAGCACTCTTTAACAACTGGGGGGGAAGAAGGAGGAGTAGGAGGCTCTTCTCCATTTCTGCTTTTGGCCACCAGGGTCAGGACATGAACTCCACAGTCCCAAACAGAAGCCATATCACAACCAATTGCTTTACAAAGGCTTATTTCCCTCAGGTATAACTCCCTTAATCCTTCCCAGAAAGCTTCTTAGCTCATATTCATGGATTCCATACACACACGCACGCACGGTGCTACCTCTACAACACTCAGGCTTATGGAGTGGAAAGGGAAAGCCAGAGCTGGGAAATCAAATGCTGATCTCACATATGGCAGCTTTTATGCCGTCAAAGTGGCTGAAATAAGGCTTCTCTAAACACGAAAGCGATTCTACAGCAATGTTAAAATCAGAATGAGTGGTTCTGAGCAAACCTACTCCCAGAATCGTTGGGCTAAATATGGGCCCCACTATGTAAATAAGTACAATACAGCAGGCTTGACCAGAAGAGAAAGACAAAAAACGTTGTGTGACTTATGAGAGACTCAGTACAAGTCTATAGCCTAATAACTCTACACACTACCTGTCACTTTGAACTCGAGACCCAACAGCTGCCTGGTGCCTTCCTTCCCCTGGCTCACACGAATAGAAAGATGCCACTTCTAAGATGTTATCAGATTCAAGGAAATAGCCTTAAATATGTGGACCGGAGTCCTTCTCTCGAAAATCCTGCAGCATGACTTGGGACTCCAAAGAATGCTGTTCAGAAATGTCACTACAGAAGAACTTATAAGAGGGCTAGTAATTTCCCTACAGAAATTCAAGGCCCTTCTCCCCCATACCTAGAATTTCTCCTAAATATGACAAGAAGGGCAAGAACGCATTTTGGTCACCAAACCAAACAACACTTTCAGCAAAAGGCCAGGTTCAGATGAAACCACAAACCTCTGATGCAGCAAAGGACACACAACCTAATTTCAGAAAGCTGTGTTTGGGACAGAAAGGGGACTCAAGTCCCATTTCCATCTAAAAATATAAGCCTAAACTTGATTCTTGATAAGCTTTGATTCTTGGAATAGGTGCGTTAATTATCCCTCAATTTCTAAGTGTATTTGCTAATTGTCACATAGTAGTCACTGTAAATGACAGAGGCAAGGAAATTTTGCTTTGTTTTTGCTTCAGAATTTGAATTACTCAGTATATGCTATACTTAAGATTGCAAAACAGTTTTCATATCTCAGTTTCCACTCACTCCTAAATTTTGAAAAATTATCCTCATGGGCTGGAATTTTCCATGCTTGGACTGTGCCTGATGGATTTTTTTTTTTTTATTATTGGTTCTACTCTGAGGACAGTCTCTTCAGCTATTTTTGAGTTCTGTGTGTATGGGGGAAAAATTTCACTGCAAAATATAATAGCTACACTTCCTGCTAATCATTATTTATTACAAACAGACTGCCTGCTTAACATAAGAGAGACTGATTATTCAAAAATACCGAGCTTTGGAAGGCTCATCTATCCGTAGTTTAGTGAGGAGTGTGTTCACGGTGGTGTTTAGAAAAGGTCATCTGGAAATTCATTATGGATGTTTAAAAACCGCATCCTGAGTATGCCGAGGAGGGAGTGTTATTAAATCTGAGAGCACACATTTCTGGAGAGCTGGTCTACATACAAGTGCAAGTTGTTTATTGTGTATTCTATAGGTACCTAGGCCCTGAACTGAAGCTGAGCACACCTGTGGCCTGGCCACACCTCTAGCCCCTTCATTCCCTCAACTCCCTGACAAAGTATGCTTTTTACTGAGAGATCACTTGTGTGTGTGTTGTGTTTTTCTCTCTCTCTCTCATATATATATATATATATATATACACACACACACACAAAATTTCCAAGCACACCAAGAACTTCACAGCACACAAGCACAGAGTAGGCCCCTGTGCATCCGTTAAGACCCCTGCCCCCTGGATTGAAAGGAGCATCCCACCCTCTCTTGACCTGCTAACAAGTGGATCCCCAGTCCACTCCCTTGCTGCCTGCATAAAGAAACCAGTGTGGCTCTTTAAGTGCACATGTATTTGATGTATTTTCAATACTGTGAAGCACTCAGATACCATGGTAATGAGGACTACAGAAACGCCTATCAATAAACAGTAAATGCATTAATGACGCCACATTTCAGAGGCAGCAATGCTGTGCTCAGAAGAAACATACCTGTGTCTCCAGCAGTAGGATCTAGGGCTACTCTTAAATAATATAACAGTGCTCAATTCTTTGAGGCAGGAAACTTTTCTCTTGTCTATACATCATCAATAGGTAAACAATAATGCAAGATTACAATTGTACAACATCTTAAAAGTCAGAATATGTAACAGTTGCAGTTTCTACAGCAATATTGCGTTGGCCTTGCTGCACCTACATAGTCTTTTGTATTCTTGTGTTTCTTGTTAAAGGGATACTTTAAGATTCCTGTCTATGTTATTAAATGTATACCATAAAATATACAGGATGTGCAATAAGGCTTATCTCAACTATGAAGTAGGACCTCAACCTTTGCATTTATCTGCAAAAGAATGACAGAAAATGTCCTGTCGGAAACAATCATTCCCTGGCCCGAGAGATCGGCTGCAAAAGCTGACAGGGCTCTTCTATCTTTTGACTTCTAGGATTGCATGATCTTTCTTTATTTTAAACTGTGCATCTTTAGTGTCACTTGCAGTACTGTTTTTACATATTTCAAATTTTAAAAGTTTGGTTTATAGTGAAAGAAGACAGTGAACATGTGTTACTGAAAAGTTACTGGCATCTGAACCAACAGTCCTTATAAAACAATACAGAATCCATTCTTTGGTAAAAACAGCCCTTACCCTTAAAGCAAATACAACATTAAAGAGAATCATGGTGGGCATCTCCCTCTTTGGTGATGGATCAGTTTTGGATACCTGCAAAATATATATAAAAATCTAATGAGTGAAGGCAGTACTTCAGACATAGTTTTAAAATAGCATAGATGCAACTACTAAAAATCTGGATTCCTGAGAAGTTCTTGAGAGTTCAGCTGTACATGGAAATGGTCTTGATTTAACAGATCTAGTTTTATTAAGTTAGTTTCCTGTTGCATTTTACTATTGGCTGCTTGTACATTTATTCCTCACTGTATTTCTACCTATAGTTGAATCAATTTTTCATAAATTTAATTTTTTATAACTAGTAAAAGCCTTTAGGTGGCATAAACCGAACTGAATCCCAGACCTTCCTGTCCCAAAATGTACTCTACTATATCGCATTTTTAATATTTCCACTTGTCAGGACTGAAGAGAATATGTTTTAGAAATGCATATATTCAAATACACACACACACTATACAGTTCTAAAACAAAAGTAGATTTGTCTCCTACATAAGGTATTTTGGAAACCTTTTCCCCAAAACCACTCTCATCACAACAAAAGACTTTTGCAATTTAACGAACAAATATATAGACGTTTGAAAAAATAAAATCAAGACAGACAACACAGGTGGAATTCCTGCATTAGGAGCGGTTATATCTTGATTATTCCACTGACCAAGTGTCTCCACAAGATGGAGTAGGAGATCCAAGCAACATGCTTGTACTCCCAGAGAGCTCCATAATGCTTATGCCTAACCCTCACAAGGGTGGAAAACCTCTCACTTCCCATGGACTTTGGGCCCCAAGTAACACACAGTTCAGGGAAACAAATGAGACCATTTATCAGTATTCTTAAAAAACTAGATAAACTACAAGGAAAGAGGAAATCATCTGTTTTCTAAAGGACCAAATGAGATTCTAATTAACAAGGGGGTTGGACTAGATGACCTCCTGAGGTCCCTTCCAACCCTGATATTCTATGAATGTTAAGCAAAGGAGGAAAAAGGGGGCACTTTGCACTACAGTTTTGATAACAAGCCTTGTTATTTGGTTTCTTGGAACTGAAAGGTTTCAGAGTAGCAGCCATGTTAGTCTGTATCCGCAAAAAGAAAAAGGAGGACTTGCGGCACCTTAGAGACTAACAAATTTATTTGAGCATAAGCTTTCGTGAGCTACAGCTCATGAAGTGTGCCGCAAGTCCTCCTTTTCTTGGAACTGAAAGATTCCCATAGGAACATTTCTCTAAGCACCTTTCAGAGGCCTCAAAGCATTTAGAAACTTAGGGCCGAAACCTGTTCCCACTAAATCCAAAGGGAGTGCTGCCACTGACTTCAAACAGTAGCTGGATCAGATCTCACAATGTTCTCTAACCAGAAGAGAAAGACTAGAGTATATTTACCAATTTAAACTATAGGGAGCATTTAAAGAGGCAGAATGTCATAAAACAAACAGGAGTCATACCAGGGACACAGGATTAAATACTTCAACTCTTGTGAAAAGACTGCCATATGATTTTTAACAACCACAAAAGGCCAGGATCTAACCTGAACAAGAATCTTGCAACAGCACATTGCTCTGACACAAAAGCATTCTGGGCCACAGCTAGTGAGTCACAAACACCACTTCTTGTAGTGTCCTGGATATTAACCCGCTGCAGCTTATGAAATCTGATGAGATCCAAGCCAGAAATGTTGTGGCTACTTTATTACTTAGAATTTTATTTATTTAATTTTTATTGAAAGGGATTGGAAGGAAATACCTTTGCCTCTTTCAGATTTTGCAAAAAGAGAATTCAAGCTTTAAACATGACACTGAGAAATGGACAGACCGTTGCTGATCACGGAAATTCCCAGAGTCCAATTCACTTTTACGCACTATTAGTGAGATCATAGAATGGGACAGGGAAAGTGCAAATCCTTTCCCAAACTCGTGCAAAAGCCCTTTCCATGGCTCATGTGGCTGAACATCTACTCCATTTCAGCATGCAGCACTTATGAATTAACTTCTCAACTCAGAAGTGCCTATAAGGCCTTGCTGACCCTGGGAAATTTTACCACCCTCTACGCCAAAAACAAAACAAATGTTCTAAACCAGTGGTTCTCAACCAGGGGTCTGCAGCCCCCTAGGGGTCCGCAAGCTAGTTTCAGGAGGTCTGCCAAGCAGGGCCAGCTTTAGACTATCTGGGGCCCCATGGCAGAAAGCCGAAGCCCTGCCATACAGGGCTAAAACCAAAGTCTGCGCAATAGAGCTTTGCAGGGGTCCCTGTAGTATGGGGCCCCAGGCAATTCCCCTGCTTGCTGCCCCCTAACACTGGCCCTGGCTTTTATATGCAGGAAAACAGTTATTGTAGCACAAGTAGGCCATGGAGTTTTTATATCATGCTGGGGGCAGGGGGCTCAAAAAGAAAAAGATTGAGAACCCCTGTTCTAAACCATATCCTGACGAAACAGCTTTAGCACTGGCGGGAGTTATAGGGTTCACAAGGCTCAGGCGGCTTTCAGAATTTTTACCATTATGTTTAGTTAAACCTGCCAAAAAGCCAATTTAACTAGCACAATGGTAAGCACAGATATGATCCACTGGAGTCATATCTTCATAAGGGTTTCTATTTAATATTAACACTGGTTCAGCTGCACCTGTGTTTGAGCCACTTGGAAGGTTTTTTTTTAAATTTCCAGTGTAGACACAACCTATTTGGCATTAACATCAGAAGATAAGCGAAGACAAAAGTTCCCAAAAACCACAGGCATAAAACAGAGTTTCAAAGCAATGCTGTACATTTTGAATTCCAAATTTCATAAATCTTTTGCTGTTCTGTCCATATCAGTTCTCAGGAGAACAATGTTTCCCAGTGCCCCAGCAGCTCTCTTACCGTACCTGCCCGAGCGCATGTTGCAGCAAAGTAGGATGGCCAACAAAACGGACATTATCAATCTTCAGCTCAAATTTTTTGCCACACATATCTGATTTGGTAGCCAAAATTGTTGCCAGGATGACATCTGAAAACCTTCAAAAGTAGAAACAAGTCACTACGGTTACCAAAAAAAAAACACACCCTAAAAATATTCCCCAAACTGAAATACAGATTTATTTCATTTGTGTGAGCTTTAAGAGGGTTTTAAATTGGAACACCTTGAATGCATCCAATTATGAAAATTAATAATTCCGTAAGATTATGTCGCTCAGATCACCAGAATAATAAAATGAGAAGCATCAAAGGCAAAGAATGAAGATTCATGCTTATTTAAATTTCATGCTCTGGGAAAGATTAGATGCTATCTGCTTTCAAAAAGATAAAACCCGCTCAAGTTAGTCATTGCCTGGATTTAGCTGCAGGTTAATGAACTGATTAAGCAGCTTGGTATCAAAATAACCTTCACTCAAGCAGACAAAGATCTTTAACTACCCAAGTGTGTGTGGGGGGGGTTAGATGTTAATAAATATCTTCCCACTGCCTGTCCCATCTCTTCTAAATCCAATAGTCAGACTTAAATGTCTGGTGGCCTGCAGAGAGCTGGCTGGTCACATGGTGCTGGCTCTCATCCCAGCTACTCAATTGCATTAAAAGTAGTAACAATACAGTACACTCATTCCTAATAAACTTCTTTATGTAAACAATTGCTGTTGTCGTCACAGGAATGTAATGGCACTGTTAGTGTGGAGGACGTGGTCCATGAATGTGGGGGAAAGTGTCCACAACAGAATCTCACTGTAAAGGCATGACGCTCATTATGAAAAAGTCTGAAAACCCCTGTCATAAAAAGCCATTAGAAGGAACCCCTCTGCAACTCCACTGATAGTGCTGTGGGTGATCTTACACCATTGCAGTCTATTTAGGTTCTTATAGCACATCCATTACCATGTTGTCAGACAGAGGAGATCAGACCAAAGTAAAACAGATTTCATTTTTCATGTCGGAAACTTTTCCCCCCCATTTATGGACTGTACAAACTTTAATTGTTTTATCACTGTATAGTCTTTCCTCAACTGTCCTCTTCGAAGTCGCCCAGCTACAACCAAAGTGAAGAAATTTAAACTAACCTTCTGGTGAGAGTTTAACAACATTAACGGAGATATTTAAGCTCCTGTACTTACATCTGCTTGTGTGTGTATGCGCGCGCACACACACGTCCCCCCCATCCCCCTTCCCAATGCAAGTTTTCCAGATAACACTGTATCACCTAAAGAAAAAGGCGGACTACGGGTGTGTGCTGCACTCCCTTTATCTCTTGTCAGCAAAGAAGCTACTCATTTAAGAAAGATTTCTGGTCTAGCTGGGTGAGTTATTAAAGGAGTTAAGAGAAAAGTTTACAGCCATATAATATATACACATTCACCCATGCACAAGCAGCTGTATTTCCTTTCAATTAGCACACTAGTCATTTCCTTTTATTACTATGGAGAATATTCCTGGTTATACTGAATGTCTACACTGACCCAATGGCTTTGGCAGCTGCCATAGAGGCTATGAGATTTGGGAGTACCCTTGCCCTACTGGACATTAGGTATGCTAGGGTCATGATGGCCCTTGCACTTCTGGAGGGAGAAAGTGTGCACTGCATTTTCAAACCCCATAACTGCTCATCACAGACAGTATTGCAGCTTATAGGAGACAGTTTCCTACTGGATATGGGCATAAGGAGATGGATTAATCCAGGTGCCTCAAAGCCAACTGAGCCATCATTTCACGAATAGTGTATATTTGTTCAACTACACATATGAATTCAATAAGGAAAAAACTGAAGTTTCCTCAAACTGACTAAAAAGAGCTCCCCTGAAAACAGTTTCTGTTAAAAACAAACAAGGTTACAGCTCCACGTGCCCATTTGTGAAAAATCCCCTGCATCACTAGCCTGTTTTAATCAGGTGGTTCACACTGGACTGGGGAGAATCTTCAAATGGGCTGGGCCACAAGTGATGGCAAATTTGGGAGCAGAAACGGCTAGGTGCTGATGAGTGGGCATTTTTTCTTATCTGTCCTTGACGAGAAAAGTCTTGACTGTGGGGCCCCGACCCATTATACTTGCTTTTGTCACTTCAAGATTAGGCTACAACAACATGCTCAACATGGGGCTACACATCCAGGCCATTCAGAAGGTAAAATTGGTGCAGAATACACTGTAATCTGCACTGGCTTCTGCTTGGCTTCCAGGTAGAAGTCAAGGAGCTGGTCTCATCTATAAAGCCCTCAATGGTTTGTAACTGTCTGCCTACCTACCTCTTTCTCCCTCTGAGAGACTACCACAGATGTGACCAGCTGAAGCACCTGAGATGCACAGCCCTCTGGTTCCAGGGAGAAGAGTCTGGTATTGTAGCAGGGCCTCTTCAAGCGAATGTGGGGTCTTTGACTCTAGATCCCACTCCCCCTTAGTCACACAAACTGTTAACCATGATGATACACTGCATAGCTCATCTATTTCCTTGGCCTTTTACAGAGAAGGTGGACTGAGGGGTTTATCAGTTTTTATTATTCCAGCCGGGACTGGTTTGTATGAACACCACAGCTCCAGGACTAGGGCTCCAAGGCACTATGATAATTACTATTTATATTAACATTTTTGGAATTGTATTGATGTTTGTAAAAATGCCTAAAGTCAATGGGAATTGGTACTTCAACTGACAGAGCCCTAAAAGTTTTGTCTGAAGCTGATGAGATTCTACTTTTAGGCAATGACAGATCCAGCACTTGTGCGACCATGTAGCGCCCTGTGATTTCTAAAGGGGAGCAAACCCTTCTTGTACCAGGGCACAGAACAAGCAGGATCTAACCCCGGAAACCAAAGGCCTTGGCTAGACTAGGGTTTAGAATTTTTAAACCAGAAATCTCTCACGACTGCTACCACCAGTTCAACTCCATCAGTGGTATCAGCAGTACACAATAGAGCGGTTAAGGCTGGGAGCACTAGCATTTGCTGGCTGCCACTACCGCTACTACCTGTGGAACTGAACCAGTGGTAGCAACAGTTGCTTTAGTTTTATTTTCTTTTGGTGGAGTGGAAGACACCCTCAAACAGACACAGCCATCTGTGCCCAAGAAGAGATTCTATACCATTACTGACAGGAGGCATTTATGCCAGGTGATCAAATGAGTAGGGAGAAAGATTCTTAGCTTTCCCCTGCTATTGTTTGGCCTAGGCAGAAGACAACAGCATACAATACAGCTGCAGCTCTTGAGGGAGCAATCTGAGCTAAGAGAGTGCCACGCTATTTTGCGTCACTCCTGCTCTATGTGCAGCTGTCTGTGAGGAGACCTTGGAATTTATTCCCTCTCACTCCAAGCCAGCTTCTTCAGACTCTTTTCCAGCCTCCAGACATTATTCTCTTCCAGGTTGGAAGAAGGCGCCTCTCCCCAGTGTGTACAACTTTCTTGGTCACTGTGACACACTCAAGCTGCCCTCAAAGCCATCTCTCTCTTTGCTAATCTAATTCCTTTCATTTCTTTGTACCAAAATTGTGGAAGCTGAAAATGATTATTAGGAAGGACACATTAATTCAAAGTGGGGCACATGTAAAAGGGCCCTCTTTGAAATACTTTGTGACACAAGCCCAATGGCTAGCTATCTTTCCTTACAATGCAGTGACTCACACAGTAAGGCTACCATGGAATTAAATAACTTTACTCATTGGACTATACTTCTAAGTGATCAACTACTAGTCAGAAAGAAACTGATTTAGGGCTTGGTAATTAATATTAAGATAAAATGTTTGTTTGGTGATACATGACCCAAGACAATTCCCATGGAGCTTTCTGGGGGCATTGCAGCACCTTCACTGACACAGGCGTGGATTCTTGGGGGATTGCGTACTTTCCTATACCCAGAGAAAGGACAGTATGGGTCCACCCACTCGATACACTACAGGAAGCACAAAAACTTTAGTAGGACCTTTTCAAATCATCTAGCAAGAAACCTTGGCAATACATTTCCTATGGACACTGTGATTTAATAGAGAGTTCAAATTAACTCAGTGTTCAGTGTACGATGGAAATCAGAAATAAAGCACAATTAAAGGATGGTGAGAAAAGAAAGCCATTCTAGACAGATGTGATTGTTTAGAATGTTTGAGCTTACCCTGAAACCAATTGCTCATCAGTTAGAGGACATTGCTCTCTGAAATGGGAACATGGGCATAAACAAAAACAAAAAAATACAGCAAAAGAATAAACTAGGCAAAGTAACACATGATACACAAAAGTGACAATATTAAAAATGAAGATGGACTATTAAGGGTTAAACTTCTGTACAGTAGAGATAGCTACATGCAAGAGTAACAGCAAGCCTATGGTAAGGGCATTGCTGGTGCATATTTTATAATTAATGCTTACCTAGCATATTCTGGTCTAGAAATTGCAGAAAAACTAACACTGATTTTAGAGGAAGAGATTCCTTAACTTCGGTTCTTGGGGCAGATTGTTACTGGTGTTTACAAGAACCCATCTGTGTTGTTTAAAGTTGCACACAGCGCCATATGGCACAAACCCTCCTGGTTGTCAACTTGCGAGGCACTGGCAACATAGCTCAGAGGTTAGAGACGAGACATAGGACACTGAGGATTTTATACACGTTTGAGGCCCTTTGGATGGTCTTGCACATGGAACTGCTGCTATTCCCAAATAAGCACACATCCCCATATGAGACGGTCCGGATTCACAGCACTGGCAGAGCCAGTTCCATCCCTGGCTCATTTCATACCCAGGACCAGTCAGCAAGCAAAGCCTTAAGATGAGTAAGCTGAAAAAGGTTGTGTGACAAAGAACATGAAGCCTTCCATTTGATGCAGAGAACAGAGGAGGCACTTACTGACTCTGCTCTCAACTGCAGCTATTCATACACTATGGGAGCAGACACTCCTGCACTGGCTCCCAGATACCAGTGGACAGAGCAAATAGAAATGTTTTTCCTCAAGAATAAAAATAAAGGGTACTTTTCCAAAGGTGGATGGTGCAATTGAAAATTTGGCCAGATAATCCCATGGCTGCCTTATACCATGCATGTTAAAAGCCGAACCTGAAATCAAAATGTCAACTCTGATTCTACTGGAAAGGTAACTCAGCCTCCTGCCAACCACTTTACAGTTGTTACAGCAAAGAAAACCAGGGATACCCTACAAATGGGAGAAGTGTCACAAAAGGGAGAAGTGGAATCATGGGATGGATGTCTAAAAGGATGGATGGAAAGCCAAGTGCTTCTCGAAGGGAGGCCCCTAAGAATACACGGAAGGGGTACCAGGTAGGTGCTTAACAAAAGGAAAGCGAGAGAGAGAGAATGGAGGAGTTATCAGAGGGGAGCACGTGTTGGTTAGGAAGTGGGGGAGGGAAGGATATGCATTTCTGAAGGTGAGAGAGTCTCACTAGAAACGCTAACAAGGGAGTGCATATAGGAGTTGATTCCTACAATCAGGAGGGGAGGGCCTGCCACAGTAGCCTCATCACCAGAAAGCTCTGCTATAGCAGAGCTTGGTAGTACACTCTTCAGCAGTGTCTTACTTTAATGAGTTTCCGAGCTGTTAAAATAGGTGTATTAACAAAAGGTACATACATGAGACCAACAACTGGAAAACCCTTGATAGGGAGAATGCTCCTAACAGCTGGGGACACTCTCATGGGTTTTTATAGCTCCCACTATTGAACCAAAGACTGAAGCAGCAGGTATGGGGCAAGAGGACTGTGCTCCTTGTGGTGGAGGGTAAAGGAGTATGGGGAGCTGAGAGAGAGGGTGTTGCCTTATCTGTATCAGACTCTTCAGCTCAGCAGACAGCTGCGGATTTCCCTCTGGAAGGAACATGCTACTGTAGTTGCTTAATGCTACAAGGGTTTGAGAGCCAACTTGTGCAAAAGCCTGTTTTTGACACAGCAATCCTTGAATATGCCGATTGTCCCAGCTGAATCGGCTTGGTAACGGCAGGGAAGGAATTCCTGATTCCCAGATTTCTACTATGCCAAAAATTTATGCCTTTTCTACACTTAAAATTTTGCCAGTTTAACCATACCAATGTAGTTAAACTGGCAAAAACTTTCCTAGCGTAGATACAGTTATTTGGTATAAAAGTGCTTACACCGGTATAGATTACGTCAGATAGGATAAACAGAGTTCCTGTTTTTCAGATTTTCATTCATTTCATTTTGGGGGGTTTAGTCTTAACAATTTGCGTTTTATGTAGATGCCCCAAATTTTATTTTATTTTTTTTATTTTTTTTCCAGAGCTCGCTCTCTCTGATACTCTAAAGATTTTTTGGGGTACTTCCCAAAATTCTTGTATAAATAGGATCTACTTTAATTTTTATTATATGTATAAAAATGACTTATGTTAGTTTGATCTTTGTAGTTGAATCCCTGGTTTAGCATGTAGTGCATTTGTACCCTAGTCCGCTTTAACACTGTATTGCTTCAAACAACACTATGTTAAAGCACATTAGGGAAATTTTAGTATGCATCAGAAGGGTCTACACAGACCAATTAATGCACAAAACATGAGTCCGTTTTAGAAATTGCAATCTACACAAGCCCTTAGATGCAAGCCAGGAAGCAGGGACATCACCTATATAAACAAACTGCCATGGGAAAGTGGTGAAGTCAACACGAATTGAGTAACCATTTCTGGCTTTTCACAATATTTATTGATTAAACACTGATTTGTATATATAGATATAAGATAAACTGGGAGTGTTTTATCAATTAAAACCTAAAATCACATGCCCTAAGTACAGGTTATACCAATATGAGTGCATCTACATTAGCACTTTTACCAGCACAGCTATGTTGGCCAAAAAAAATTTCATTTCCCTAACTGACATAACTACATTGGTAAAACTTTTTAAGTGTAGACTACGCCTTACCTTATGGCATTGGGAAAGTTACTTGAGGCCTGTGTACCTCAGTTTTCCCATTTGTGCAAAAGAGCTAATACAAATCTCCACCAGTTGTGATGATTATTTAATGTTTGTAAGTCGCTCTGGAGAGGAGATGTGTTTTAACTGGGTTATTTAGGCAGAGGGGGATAGTGGAAGGCTAGGAGGAAGCAAGTGGAGATATGTTTGTCAGGCAAAGTTTGTTCTGCCAAGTGACTGATCCTACTAGACAGCTTCCTGTTAGAAGGCAACGAACAATACAATGCAAGTATTTTTGCTACTCCATTTGCTTCTGAAAAGGGGATGAAATCCCAGACAAAGTTATATTAAAATAGAGTTCAGGCTGAGAGTACGTACCAGTAACTGTGGGTGAAAGCATCACAAGAATGCTGTAATTATCTCAAAAACAAGCATGAACAAACCCAGGAAATTCAAGAGAAATCTAAATTTAAAAAAAAAATCCAATTATGTTAAGGTATGGAAATGCAGAATTCAGACACCTAAACAACCTTAACTCTCTCTGCAGTAATCCCATCAGTAAATAAAATTATAAAGCAAATCTAATCTTGAAAAATCAAGTTATTCTAATTTGTGACCACAAATACATAATTATTTCACAGCCTCACCAAATCTCTTGCTAAAGCTAACGCTAGCAGTGGGGATTGCTAAAACCGAATGAAGTAAATACTATCCTCTTTCCACTTTAGGAGCAATTGCATTATGTACTGATCTATAAAACTATTGGCAACTTGTCTCATGCTCCAATTAAAAGTTTTACTGCTAAATGCAGATTTGATTTTTTTCCCCAGCTCAAGGGCTTAATTATAACTGAGTTATGTTCACTGGAGTGCAATTAAAGGTATCACATGGTCTTTCATTTAAAGGAAAATGTAATGCATATACTTTGAAAAGAACATAATTAACTCAGGAAAAGCAGTAGGCTATTCCATTGTGTCTGTTCAATCTGAGCTGTTCACACTATCTGTTCAAAAATTGGTGACAACGGGAAAAGATGAAAAGCTGCTATATGCAGATGATGTAGCAGTAAGGGCATTCTCAAAAGATGACTTAGGGAAAATAGTAAACCAGTGGAATGACCAACTAAGCAGGCATGGAACAAAAATGAACATGAGTAAGATTGGGGTCATGTGGGTCAGTAGAGATGCCACAGGGAAACTGGATATAGGAGATTAATGAAGTACGACTAAACCAAATTGAGCAATTCAGGTATCTCGACAGTGAGCTTGAATGAGACACAGTCCAGAGCGGGAGTGCTGGAACAACAACATCTCAAGTGTTGTGCACAACAAACACATGCCTCAGACTGAAAGCCCAACTTTATAGAACAGTGCACTCAGCAATGCTGTATGGTGCAGAAACATGGGTGGTGAAGGGACAGCAGATTCAATGCAAACAGCTGTTCAAGGTAAGATGTCTTTGCCCTATAAAGGAGTTACGCAAAGTAACAGATTTCAAAATGAAAGCGTTAGGATGGCAGTCAAAGTCTGATGTGGCTGACAAAATCCAGGAAGTGAGACTTCGCTGGTTCAGACACATGCAGAGGATGAATGAAGAGGACCAGGCAAAGATCGAATGGGATGAGAGCATGGTAGTAAACAGATCCCGTTGAAAGCTGAGAGTAAAAGCTGGATCACATTGAAGAAGATGAGGGACCTAAGCAGGTGGATCTTAGTGCTGCCATGGACAGCCGAAGATGGTGCATGCTTGCTCGATGACTTGACCCCAGATGAAGAAGAATCAGAGTCACAATCTATTGAAAGATACAGATCTGAAAACAGAAGCTGTCCGGCCACCATATTTCAAGAGAAAAAGGGAAAACAGAAGGCATTTGTACAACTTTATATTTGAAGAAAGTCAAAGTTAGTGCATTTCAGGAAACAATTTGAAAACATGTACATTAACAGCACGTGCAGTAATTTGATGGAAGAAGTCACTTGTTGCTATCAGCTATTATTTTTGAAGATGGGGATCAGTCTAGCTGTTGTATCAGTACTTCCGCTGTAGACAAGAGCTTATCTCTTTCCTTCCATTAGCATGTGAGAGGAAAGTTGTGAAAAATACTGATTATTCTTGGAGCTAGAGAAGGATTTATGCAAAGGAAGAATTCGACTCAAGTGTAATTTCAGAAAAGGACTTTGTCACAGCTAGCAGGTTTAAAATGGAGCCACCTCTGCACTTTTGAAGGCAGATACATAAGCACACAAATAGCACTTTCATCAGGTCTGCTAGATTAAAGAACCCTCTGCTATCCAAAATCTTCTCCATATCTACACCAAGACCAATAAGCTACATACATTGAGCTTCTTAAGTATTTGAAAGGCATGTTTTTTCCAAACTTCACATCATTCTGGTGGCTCTTTTCTGGACATTCTCCAATTTTTCAACATCCATTTGAAGTGGACTCCAGAATTGAACGCAATATTCCAGTAACTCCAATTGTTTGTAAGAGAAAAAACACATTTAAAAGATTCAATAATGTACAAGGTCACAATACAATGAAAACTGGGATTTAGGAGATTTTGGTAACTCAGCTCTTCAAGTGCATTACAAGTTCTCTGAGCTCTGTTTTTGGGTCTCACACTGGTCATTATCTGTAGGAGCCAATAGCTTCCTTTTTTTCCTGGCATTCTGAGAATTCTTTGAAATGCCAAAAGCAGCACAGCTTTCCCTTGCTTTACAAGTATAGTCTACAAAATACTAGGGCCAAACTTTTTAACAGTGACTTGCAAAAGCAACCTGAGTTAACCAAAGAAACACATGCTGAATGGCTCCACTAATTTGGCTGTGCAGAGGGTTTAGCACAGAACTAACTTTAAAATACTAATTTTTAAAAGTTGTTTTTAGTTCCCATGGAGTCTGCTGCCTTGTACTGGATTCACTGAGGACATTCCAGATTGCAGCATTCCAAGACACCAAAGATACCAAAAAAGACAGCACACAGATTTATTGTAAGTCCCAAGCAAATGGAGTTTTCTACAGATGAGAAAAACAAAAGCACTGATGCCACCAAGACTTATGTACTTGCTTAACTTTACTACCACGAGCTGTTACACTGATTTCAATGGGACTACTCATGGTAGTAAAAGTAATCATGTGCTTAAATCTTTGCAGGATCGGGACATAAATTTCCCCTTTGGAGGTCCAATTCTGCCAACTTCTCTCACATTAAGTAGTATCTTTCACTGTAATTAGTCTAACTGATTTCAAATAACACTTTCCTCAACAGGAGTAAGGGTGACAGAACCCGTCCTTTTACTATTTCATAAGATTTAAAAAACATGCCACAGAGAACACCAACTTAGCTAATGGTGAGCTCAGGACACCTGCTGACTTTGCAAACATCTGTGAAAGCCCAAGAGTGATAAATTTTGTGGTATGCACAAACCAGAACAAAGCAGGAGACTTTGCACAAAGTAAGAAGAATGTTTAAAAGATCAATTTAAACTGAATAATACGTAGGGACACTCAACACTTGCAGAGCACTTTTCATCCAAGGATCTCAAAAACATTATTTAAATTTCAGTATCCTTATGAGACATCACTTCATCCAACAAAGAATTGCAGCTACCTCTGGGGAAACACACCAGTTTATTTGTGCACAACTCTACATGAGAGTTAAGGCAGCAAGTGAAGAACACTGCATCCAACTGTAACTCCCATCTGGAGATGCAGGTAGGTAGAACTGAAATTTGACCAAGGCCACTGGATTAACACTCCTATTTTGAAAGAGTGGCATGGGCTCTTTAATGACCAGAAGGGGTTAGAATGTCTGATTTACATCTTGCCCAAAAAATAGCATCTTCAGCAGCACTCTGACTCTCATGGGAAGTGCCTGGTTAGTAGGTGCATCCAGCACATCTGTTTGAGGTTAACTCAGTTCTGAGCTTTTCTTTGCAGATCTCCTTTCATACAGTACAAGAGGATTCACCTACTCAACTAGTGTTCAAGAAAGGAGAATGGGCTATTCTCCTCCTCTATTTTAAAACTTTTGGTTGAGGGGAAATTTCCTTACCTGGAGTCTCCATCTTGGTCTTCTGTGTTGTCACTAGTGCTATTCACAGCATATCGGCTCCTTGGCTTACCTGAAGCAAATGGAAAAGAAGATCAATTCAAATCACTTAACAGTGACCTGCAAAAAGAAGTGTGTGTTTGTGCCTTTTTCTAAAGGATATACTAGGAAGGCCCAAAAGTGTTCTCTTTAAAAAAAAAAAAAACAACAACAAAAGCCCTTTCTCCCTCCTTTTTTATATTAGAAACATCCAGCCTTGACTTATCTGTTTTTGCTTCAAGACAGTTTGAGAGAAAGGACCAGAAGCGTCCTCAGCCTTCAACTTAAGATGAAGGGGTGCTGAAACTTGAGGACCAAATATTTAATAATAAGCTCTTCAATCTAGCAGACAAAAGTATAATACGATCCAATGATAGAACTTGAAGCTAGACAGATTCAGACTGGAATAAGGTACATTTTTGACGGTGGGGTAATTACCATTGGAGCAACTTACCAAGGGCCATAGTGGACTCTCCGTCCCTGATAATTTTTAAAGCAAGGTAGGAGGATTTTCCAAAAGATCTGCTCTAGGAATTATTTTGGGGAAGATCTCTGGCCTGTGTTATACAGGAGGTCAGACTAAATGATCACAAATCCTTCTGACATTAGAATCCGTGAATCTATAAAAGGAAGCAACTGTCCATCATTACCCTTTGATGGAAAGGATAAAGCAATCAGAACGCTTCTTCCACCAGACAGATCTTGAACATGAACTAGCAACATTCTACAGTAGCAGACGGAGGGTAGGTCATAGGGAACTTCTGTCTTGGCCCACAATGACACTGTGCATCAGATCAGGGTAGAGGTGAAATTACTATGCCTTTAAATATTTTACATTTAGGCCAAATATTCAGTTTAGGGCATAACCAGCTGGTGAACAAGTCATGCAAAAGTGGAATAAAGCCAAACCAAATCTCAGGTCAAGTCATCAAATTCAAAAGCCTGCATTTCCTACAGCAGCATTTACTTGAACACAACACACATTATATGAAGAAAGATAAACATATAATACTGAACAACAGTAATCTAAAATATTACATATACACCATCTGGATAAATTAATGTTGCTGTGGGACCTTAACACGTGTAAATTCTCAAATTTACCACTGTATTAACATAAGATTTTACAGTGCTGTATTTGCTATGCAAAAAAATTTTAAAGAAGTTAATGCAATGTTAGTGTTAAGAAATAAAGTACTCAAAATGTTAAAAATAATAAATAATAATAATAATAATCCAAAACTTAAGACTAAGGGCTCAAGCCGAACTGTCCCTTCATCTCAAATGACTCAAATTACCTGGTCTAAGCCTCTCTGGAAATCACAAACATTTAGAGTCAGCAAATTCTGTCTGAGTTGAGAGGTTGAAAGGGCCTTAAAGTCATATCCTTTGCCCTCCCTCATCCCCCCCAAAATGTATAAATTCTAATACACATACTTTGAAAAATGCACAACTGATTTTTTTTCAAAATTGGCTTCAACCTTAGATCTCAGTATGAATCAATGATAAACCAAGTTTAAAGTTTCTACCAACAATAATTTTTATTTAGTTATACATGCACAGATTTTTAGCCAGAACATAAGGGATATTTTCCATAACTGAATAATGAACAATAGATGGACTAACTGAGCTAAAACTTCCAAGAAAAATGAATTAAGACCAGGCACTCAAAATGTCAGCCCAAAAAGGAATTTGCTTTAGAATTATGAGTAACTGGGAAAGGAGGGAATGGAAATTGAACTAAATCTACTAGAACATATAACTCATCATATGTGCTTCTCCAAGCTACATTTAACTGTGTGAATAGATCAGGTGCTCATTGCACTGGCTTCTGGGAACCCTTTGGATGAAGATAATTTATTCAAGTGAGAAAACAAAAACAAAAAAAGTGTGTTTAACCTTTGCGAATGGACATTTTGCTGGGTCTTTCTCCCATCAACCTTCTGGAATCCTGGTGTTGCCAACTCTTACAATTTTATCATGAGTCTCACAATATCTGGTATTTTTCTTAAAGTCCCAGTTCCCAGAGGCATGTGATTAGGCAAGAACCTCATCTTTCATTCAAATACTAAATACCACCTAGCTCTTATATAATTCTTTTCATCAGTAGATAAATCCCAAAGGACTTTTCAAAGGAGGTCAGTATCATTATCCCCATTCTTATAGGGGAACTACTGTCTTTTTGTTCTGTCTGTTTGGTGCCCAGCACAATAGGGGCTGCTCCACAACTGGGATTCCTAGGCACTACTGCAATATAAACAACAACAACCAAGTTGGTTTCTAGCCCTCCTAGCTGCAGCTTTAAAACATACAATGTATAGAATCATAAAAATGTAGGGCCGGAAGAACCTCGAGAAGTCACCAAGTTCAGCACTCTGCACTGTGGCAGGACCAAGGAAACCTAGACAATCCCTGACAGGCACCTGTTCAACCTGCCTTTAAAAACCTCCAATGATTGTGATTCCACAACATCCTTTGGAAGCCTATTCCAGAGCTTAACTAGTTCAAAGTGTTTCCAAATATCTAACCTAAATCTTCCTTGCTGCAGACTAAGCCCATTATTTTTTGTCCTACCATCCTCTTTATAAAAAAGAGCCCTTAACATATTTAAAGACTTATCAGGTCTTCTCTCAGTCTTCTTTTCTCAAGACTAAACATGCCCTGTTTGTTAACCTGACCTGTGAGGAAAAGTTTTCTAAACCTTTTATCATTTTTGTTGCTCCTTTCTGGACTCTATCCAATTTGTCCACATCTTTCCTAAAGTGAGGCACCCAGAACTGGACACTACTCCAGCTGTGGCCTCTCCTATGTTGAGCAGAGCGGGACAATTCCCTACATACATACAACATTCTTGTTAATACAACCCAGAATGATATTAGCCTTTTCTGTGTTTGGTATCTGGTCTCCATTAGCCTTTTTAGTGAAGACTGAAGCAGTATAGGCATTAAACACCTCAGCCGTCTTGACATCATGTTAGCGCTCCTTTTTCGTTAAGCAGCAAACCTACAGTTTCCTTTGTCTTTCTTTTGCTCCGAACGTATTTAAATAATCTCCTCTTATTGTCTTTTATGTCCCTTGCTTGGTGTAATTCCTTTTGTGCCTTATCCTGATTTTGTTTTTATCTCTGTGCTATTCTTTTGTAGAGAGAGAGAGAGAGAGAGAGAAGGTGAGCCACGTACTGGCCCAACTTCGGAGAGAGACAAAATTTCAAGCTTACACAGAGTTCTACAGGTCTGGGAAACGTACTCAGAGTACCACAGCTAAATGCAAGGTGGAACAGATGGATTAGCATAAGTAGTTAACAGAGATTTCAAGAGACCATTTAATATACTGGGACCCACATGGCAACACCACCACTGCTTAGTATACTTCCGTACTCCTCCTTAGCAATTTGTCTCTATTGCCACTTTTTGTAAGAATCCTTTTTGATTTTCAGGTCACTCGAGTCTTACTCCTCCTATCTTTCCCTCACATCGAAATACTTTGCTGTGCTCAATTTAATGATCTCCTTAAGAAATCCCCACCCAGGGATTTCCCTAGACCCACCCCGGGGGGGGGGGGGTACAATTTTCCCAACACTCCCCCCCTCCCCGCCCAGTTATATGTAGTGTTGCCAATTTAATCATTGGTTGGAAATTTGAATTGAAACTGAAACATTAATACACACTTTAAAAGCATATACAGAATTTGAGTATATACTTGTACCTGAGAAAGCATAATGGGTTTGAAAAGTATGAACAAAGACTAGCTTCCTCATATAACTGTTATTTATGACAATATCAGGACATTTGTTTCGGCTACATTGGCCTACCTAACAATTTCAAATTGTTATTTATAAGCAAGGTCTGAATGAGCTCTCCCCTGACAGCTAGTGATGAGCTGGGGTGGACGTAAAGGCTTCAGGATCAGACTGTATTTACATGAACAAACTACTCTGCCTAGGTATCCAGCAGACAGAGCTGTGCTGCCCAAGTGATCCATTTTGGCTGGTGCTGGGTTACAAATCACTTAAGTACTATATGTGGGGGTCATGAAATGTTGTTATCCTTACTATATGAGTAAAGGGCAGCAGAACTGTACTTAGCCCGGCTGAATGAGGTCTCCCTCAGTGCTTAATTTGTGCTAGGGCTTGCCAGTGCTGAGCCCCAGCACCTCTAGGATTGGCAGTTCATAGCCCTGGGACCTCTGGGCTTCTCACATCAGTTATGAAAGTAACATAGGTTTCAGAGTAACAGCCGTGTTAGTCTGTATTCGCAAAAAGAAAAGGAGTACTTGTGGCACCTTAGAGACTAACCAATTTATTTGAGCATAAGCTTTCGTGAGCTACAGCTCACTTCATCGGATGCAAGTAACATACTTGCTTGAGCCCCAGCACGTCTTTCATTACAAATTAAGCACTGGTCACCCTCAACTGAACTGCACTCCCTAAGCAGGAGGTTTGGATGCCATATCCTAATAGAGAGAGAGAGAGAGAGAGAGAATGTGGGGCACAAGTGTTCTGCTTGGTGGTGTGGGCTCTGCCTAAGAGTCACAGGTACTATTTGACCTGCCCCTCTCTCCTGTTTACAGATAGAGCTGATTAGGCTTCATAGAGAGTCTTTTGGTTTGTTAAGTGACCACTAGAGCTGAAATCACTGATAATCAGATCTAAGTGCTTAGACCTGCTGTGGGACAGTGTTTCTGTGGAAGAGACAGCCCAGCCTGCACTAGCAGCGAGGTTCCCCCACTGAGAGCTGAAATCACTGAGAGCTGGGTGGAACCTATAGAGGCCGACTCGCAGAAGTCACAGTGGCAGCAGAAGGTGACAGTGCAGGGCCACTGAGGATGGAGCGGTAGAGTGAACAGTGGCACGAAAAACAACAGCAGCCAGAGCATTGGACTATGTTTTAGTGACTTTTCTCCAGAATGCGAGATGTGTGACTGGGAAACGTATATAAATATATGTTTCCTAGAAATGCATTTTTTGCCAAGGTCATTATCTCAAGAAGTCATTATCTTGGGGAGTTTCTGAACTAAACTTTTTTATTATTATACTTATTTGTAATGTAAGAACGACCGTAGTGGGTCAGATCAATGGTCCATCTATCCTATCATCCTATCTTCCGACAGTGACTATTCCCAGGGCTTCAGAGGGAATAAACAGAACAGGGAATCATTGAATGATCCATCCCGTCGTCCACTCCCAGGTTCTGCTGAACAGAAGCTAGGGACACTCAGAGCATGGTGTTGCATCCCTCCCCATCCTGGCTAATAGCCATTGATGGACCTAACCTCCATGAACTTATCTAGTTCTTTTTTGAACCCTGTTATAATTTTGGCCTTCACAACATCCCTGGCAAAAAGTTCCACAGGTGACTGTGCATTGTGTGAAGAAATAGTTCCTTTTGTTTGTTTTAAACTTGCTGCCTATTAAATTTCATTGGGTGACCCCTGGTTCTTCTGTTAAGTGCAGGGGTACATAACACTTCCTTATTCATTTTCTCCACACCAGTCGAGATTTTATAAGCCTCTATCATATCCCCTCTTAGTCATCTCTTTTCCAAGCTGAATAGTCCCAGTCTTTTTAATCTCTCCTCATATGGAATATGTTCCATACTCCTAATCATTTTTGTTGCCCTTCTCTGCACCTTTTCCAATATATCTTTTTTGAGATGGGGTGACCAGAACTGCACACAGTATTCAAGATGTGGGCATATCATGGTTTTATATAGTATAAGTGGAGGAGCTTGGTTTGCCAGACTGATCAGCTAAGCCAATACTGACAACCTATATGAAAAGGTTCCAAAATACCATGCCTCTGGACTACATCAACATGCACAAAGCCTTATAAGCCAGTCACTGTCAAAGCCAATTTTAAAAGAACTTAATGAGGCTGTTAAGAATGCTGGAGACACAACTCGGTTTCATGTGCTGTGTATTTATACCTGCCTACTGTATTTTCCACTCCATGCACCTGATGAAGTGGGTTTTAGCCCATGAAAGCTTATGCCCAAATTTGTTAGTCTCTAAGGTGTCACAAGGACTCCTCATTGTTTTAATTCAGTTTATGTGAACCAACATAGTTGTTGCATCATACTTTCTATTTAAGCAAGAAATACCACACACTACAAACCGGAGGCCAATGCTAAGTGCATTGTCACTTGTTAATCCTGAAGCTGGACACTGGTTTCAAATAAAATTGGCAAATGCTCACTATCTGTCTGCAAAAAACTCAGCTGACTCTCTAGAAGCATGCAGTGAACAGTGAAAGACTACGCAGCTGAAAAAGTGAAGAACTCTCTCACCATATTCAAAATATGTGCATACATGGCTGATGAATACACCAATGCAAATAGGCATCAAGTATTACATCATTATGTATGTTATCTTGATGTTAAATGCTTGTAAATTGAACTCCAAATAGATGGCTGCTTGTGCATTTGATGGGAGCTACAAACTTCTCTGGAAGACATAGTGGAGTCCTCTAGAGAGAAAAGTATAACCCAAATCTCTCCTATACACACTGCAGAGGCCATCTACTCCAGCTAGCGCTAGTATAAGATGCAGAATCTTCAAAAGACATTAAAAAGCCACACATTTAATGGCTTTTTTATATAGTTTTTTTCCAGCAAGAGTTCAAAAGGACTGAACATCTTGGAAACAAACAGAAGATACACTAAAAGGAAAGGAGTACTTGTGGCACCTTAGAGACTAACCGATTTATTTGAGCATAAGCTTTCGGGAACTACAGCTCACTTCATCGGATACATTGGGATTGAAGTTCAAATGAGTCCAACCTAGGAAAACTTGGTGGCTTTCTCATGAGCGATTCTTGGCTGTTGTCTTAAAATTACTGCAACCGTTATTACTGGCTTTAGAAAGTATCCACAAAGATAGGACAGATCTACGTAGTGAGGCTGGTGAACTACTTTTGTTACTAAGTTCAGAGAAGACTATTGCCATTCTTTCTCTTGTAAGTCTACTGTTGAAACCACTTGGGTCATTAAACAAGGTCATCCAGGCATCTGCTACAACAGTAGTAGATCTTTGTCCAGCAATAGAAGCTACCCTTGGATTAATCAGAGAGATGTCCATTGAAAATGTACTAGAAGAAGCAAAAACTTCAGTCCAGAAGTTAACTAATGAAAGTACTTATATTGACTCCTTAAGTGAAGAGGACAAGAAGTGCTTGTTAAGCCAACTGAAAAAGTACACGGACTTGATTCTTACAAATATACAATAGCAATTTCTGGATTCTCAGCCTCCACGTAGCTTTTACAGATGCCCGTCTTATAAAAGACCTACAGTTGAGTGGAGTAAGGCACTACCAGCAATAAGGCTACTATGTGATCAAGACAGAATAGAGAATTTTGAACCCTGAGTGGAATATCATACGACCAACGAATGAAGATTTAACTTCAACTTCTTTATCATCGCTAGTGGTTCAACCCAATATTTGTGCTATGTTTCCTGGGATGAAAGAAGTAGAAATTCATCTCTTGCTATTCCCAGTCACAACAGCTACAGTTGAGCGTTCTTTTCCCACACTGAATAGAATTTTGTGTTCTGAAAGAAGTCGCCTTCTGCCTGATCATGAGCATATCATGAAGGACTGGAAGTAACAGACACACACACGCACAAGAAGACACCAAAGAGTGCAAAATTACAACAAGAAACCAAGACGGATGTAGATGCAGTGCTTCAGAGTAGGCTTGAGTAGCCAACTTCAATTTCTGTGATGATTTTAAAACAGGAGTTAAACCTAATAAAATAGTTGTGGAACATTTTTCAGTTTTTATTATGGTGCCATACAGCCCACCTTTGCCTTCCCAGTCTCAATGCTCGTCGGCCCTCACCCCAATATTCCAACACCGCCCCCCCCACCCCCCAATTTCAATTCCTGGGGGAAAACACTGCCCCCAGCTCTCCTGAACTGAGATCTTCCTCTAAGATAGTCTTCCTTCGGGACCTCACCCACTGGCTCTCTGAGTTTGTCTGCTATTATGAAGGCCATTGTCCTTATTCCGCTGCTCTCCCTCCTTCTTCCCTTAGCCTCAGGAACTCCACCAACGCCTGGCCACTGGCCCCCTCACCACTCCAGCTCAGCGCCCAAGTGGCTCCCTGCCCCTCAGCCTCAGCGCTGCCCGGCTACTCCCCAGGGCCAGTGGGCCGAGCCCAACCCCGCCTCGCTCTTCAAAGGGGATTCGAGGCAAGCCCTTGTGAGTCTGGGAGGGGTCCAGCTCCCAGCCACGCTGCGGGCACCCGCGGGCCCAGCCCACACAGCGGTAGGGGCGGGCTCAGGCCGCCCTGCGTGCGACAAGGCCCAGAGGACGAAGCCCCGAGGCCTAGCGGCCCGCTCCAGCCTCGTGCGCCCGGCCGCCCGGCACGTGGCCCCGCGCGGTCACTTACCGGCCTGGGCGGCCGGGTGCTCCGGGCCCCGCGTGAAGGGGAAGCGGAAGAGCAGCTTGTTGCCGCGGCTGCCCGAGCTCACCAGGATCACGCTGATGGGGCTGGTACTCTCGCCCATCCCCCGGCGCCGGCTCCCCGCGAGGCAGCCGGCGGCAGCGCCACCCCCACGTCCCTCACAGCTCCCCGAGCTAGCGGCAGCCGCGGGCCATAGAGACGCCTCAGTTCAGTAGCCTAGAAGGGCCTTAAAGAAGCAACGGCTGGCGCACTTCCGGTTCCGCGCATGCGCCGCCAGATAGAGCTGCGGCCGCCTGGAGGCCGCGCTCTGCCGCCGGCCCGGGGTGTAGCGAGACGCGAGCGACGCTTTCCCTAGGGCTGGGCCCGCTCGTGCGAGGCATGAGACTGCCCCCCCCCCCCCCGCGGCTGTGCCGCGCCCCGGGCTGCTCGGGCCCGCACGAGACCAGGACGCAGGCCCAGCACAGACCCGTGCACAGCAGCCTGGGGCTCCGGGGCTACCCCCCGTGGCGCTGTCTCTGCGGCCTGTGCGTATCCTGCCGCTCAGACCCTGCCCGAGCCTGGGGCCTGCCAGCCTCTGCCGCTCCCAGCCCAGTCCGCGGGACCCCGCAGCCGGGCCGCGGGCTCCGGTTCACCCTCTCGCCCCCGCGTTGCTCGAACACCCGTTTGATTCTCCACCACGATTCCGTTCACCGGCCCAGGCCCTGCAGCGTCTCCCACCATCACCCAGCAGTGCCGCAGCGCCAAGCTGGAGGAAAAGACCTTGTAGACTCTACACTGAGCTGGGGGATTAACCACAACCAGCAAATACAAACTTAAACACACCAGCCCTGGTGTATACTAAGTGTTTCACATTGTGCTAATTAATATGTTATAACTGTGATTTTCCAGACTACACAAACCCATGTGGCGAGCATTTCAGTACATCCCTGAATAATGTCTAGCAGAAGCATCACCTGTTCTTTCTGCATGCCTCAGCTCCCTTCCCCCAGTCCTGTGTCATTGCCTCTTGCTAACAGATCAGCCACCCAAGGGAGAGAATGCCCCCAGATACCCTGCCCTAGCACAAGGCCTGTGACCCTCACAATGGGACTCATTTCATACACTCCAGACTGAAATCCATGGGGGAGAATTTCCTGTATCAAAATGTGACAAGTGTCTGCTGATACTTCCTTTCCTTGGATATAGCATTCATTAGAACAGATCTTATTGCCCGAAGTCCACTGTTACGATCTCTGGCTTTCTGTGCACTGTGGGTCTGACCCTCTGATTTAGCTTTTCTTACCAAATGCAATCCCCGTTGTATTTATACCTTTCTCTAGATCATTAATGCAAACATTATTGCCTGTTGTAGGTCACTTGATACTACTCCTCTTACCCTTAATGTTTATTTTCAATTGTCTGTTTGCCAAACAATTTCCAGTTCATATTCAGGAATTTTAATTGGGGTCAGGACAATGTCCATTATCAGGGATTACAATGGAAAAGGGTCTGTATTTTCATCTGGATACCTTGCATAAAAACTCCTCGGTATCAATTTGCTATATACAGCTACTTTAAAAAAGACTAAGAAGCCTTTGAGCAACAAAGTAATAAATACTAAATATGGATTTAACGCTGCAAGATCCCCTTTCAGAGGTTGCATACAAAGAGAAATGGGTGGCCAGGGGGTGGATGGACACACTGCTGAGTGCTTTATCTGCCTTGCCATTCTCTGTGAGGCGGATGATAAAAATTGTAGCAAGAGCAGATGTTGCCCAAGTGAGATATTTGTTGGAGAGTGATTAAAGAGCAGGCGTATTATCTCCAAAGAGCATTATTTGTGTCCCAGAACTGTGTTAACTGTGCTACAATTTCACAGTTTGTCTTCTGTGAAGCAAAATATTAATTTTAAAAAAGATAAGAAATTACAGGTATGCTTGTCATTTACATCTGGGAGAGGCTGTAGTTAAATTCAAGCAAAAAGTCTAATAAGCCTGTTACAGGGTAGCTGATCCATCAGAGGCTCAGGCACCCAACCTACCTGAGGCAGGCTCCTCTAAGGAGAATGGACCAACTCAGCGCCACATGAGTAGTTAACTACCTAGTGGCTGGGTGGCAGTTAATTAGTTAAGGAACATCTAGGCCTAATAAAGGTTTATGAAAGCTCAGTCAGGGGCTCAGATCAGAGAAGAAGCTCCTAAGGAGAGGAAATTTGCAGGGGAGTTGGTTAGAGAGAGCTTACCAGGAAAGGGGACGTAGAAGAGTTGCTGCTGGGGAGAGCAGTTTGTAACCACTTTCATGCGAGATGGATGAGGTCATATAATTGGGACCGTGGGGTTTTGTTTTCCTGGTACCTCCACTCATGATATCACTGGACCCGCACTGCAGTCGTTACCCCAGATCTGGCCAGGATCTCTGCTTTCAGCTGGGGGTAGTCTGCCGCAGCCTCTTCAGGCAAATCATAGTAGGCCTTCTGGGCCTCCCCACACAGGAATGGAGCGAGGATGCCAGACCACTGTTCTCGGGGCCAAGCCTCCCGCAGGGCTGTCCTCTCACGGGCCAGGAGGTACACCTCTACGTCATCCTTCCGCGTCATTTTCTGCAGCCAATTGCTGGCCCGCATGATCTACATCCCATCATGGCCGCGGTTCAGCTCTGTAAGGGCCTTTACCTGGTTTACCAGTTCCCACAACATAGCCCGGTCTTGAGCAGCCTGGTCCATCAGCAGGAGTTTAGTCTCTTGCTGTAGCCACTCTGCCTCCAGTTGGGCAGCTGCCTGGACACGGGTAGCCTCCTGCTGGGCAGCCATGGCTTGTATCAGTGCCCGCACTACCTCCTCCATTGTGGTGAAAAAAATTAAGAGAGACCCTCTCCCCCTTTTTTTTTTCCCAAACACCTTCCTTCTTCCACCGCGCTGTGTACACCAAATCCCTCTTCTGACACCAGTTGTGACAAAGTTCCTCCTCTACCTTGGTGGGTCTTGCTCTTATTGGCAGATTTGCTCACCTTGGAGCTTCATGGCAGCCCTCAGCTTGGCCGTTTTTCTGAATGCACAGTCCAGGTCGACTCCTCCTGTGTCTGACCAGGAGTTGGGAGGTTTGGGGGGAACCCGGGCCCGCCCTCTGCTCCGGGTTCCAGCCCAGGGCCCTGTGGAATGCAGCTGTCTAGAGTGCCTCCTGGAAGAGCTGTGCGACAGCTACAACTCCCTGGGCTACTTCCCCATGGCCTCCTCCCAACACCTTCTTTATTCTCACCATAGGACCTTCCTCCTAGTGTCTGATAACACTTTTACTCCTCAGTCTTCCAACAGTCCACGTTCTCACTCTCAGCTCCTCACACATGCACCACAAACTGAAGTGAGCTCCTTTTTAAACGCAGGTGCCCTGATTAGCCTGCCTTAATTGATTCTAACAGCTTCTTGATTGGCTGCAGGTGTTCTAATCAGCCTGTCTGTCTTAATTGTCTCCAGAAGGTTCCTGATTATTCTGGAACCTTCCCTGTTACCTTACCCAGGGGAAGGGACCTACTTAACCTGGGGCTAATATATCTGCCTTCTGTTACTCTACTGTAGCCATCTGGCCTGACCCTGTCACAATATATGTAAAATATATAGAACATGTAACAAGGTATTCTTTCTGTTGATACTCGCATGTGCACACACACACACAAACTACTCCTAGTGTTTAAAGATATAAGTCATTAAGTTGGAATCTCGTGGGGAGAAAATATATATATACTGTGCTTTGAAGATCTAGCACGCTAATTGTTATGCATTATCTCTGCAGCTCAGCTTCACTTTTTACTTCCACAGGATCTTTGGCAAAATTGAGTTCTTGGTCCCCACAAAGGGAAATCCCATAATATATACACACACATGTAATCTGAGAGGTGAACAAATGAAGCATTGTCCTTGCTTTTCTGCTGACTGGAGGTCTTGACTCATTGCAGTTCTAGTGGTCAGGAGTTAATTGGAACAGTCACGGTTTGGTGCGTTTTGTTTTAATGAAACTCTGCTTCATACAAATTCCCTGGTAAAAATTCCCACCGTGCAAAGTATGGGGAAAAAAGCACAAAAAATACAGTGGAGCTACACAGTAGTGAGCTGTGTCCCCAGCCAGCAAGCAAGGCTCCTGGGAAGAGAGGAAGACTCGTTCAGGTGTGAGGATAGTAGCTCGCAATTTGGACTTTGGCGAGCTGGGTTCAGTTCCTTGCTCCACATCAGACTGCTTGAGTCTTTTTGGGCAAGTCACTTAAGTGGGATCCCCAAGGGACTTAAGTGTTGCGACATTGAGCATCACAATGCCTAACTTTTAGGCACCTATAAAATCCAGGAAAAACACCGTCTATGAAGCCAATTTAGGCACCTCCATCCCCTGTACAAAATGAGCAGATAGATAGGCATCTTAGAATGCAAGCCACAAAGTCAGGACGCTAGGTGCAGAGCCATCTAAGCTAGCCAATGGCAGATGCTCACCAGAGGAGTGTGTGCTAAATCCTGCCCCTCTTAGAGCTAGGTGCCTGTCTCTGCTTAGTGAGCTGGTAACAGGAACCTGCTGCCTGGAATCAGGTGGCCTAGGTACCTAAGGTGTTTCTAGGGGGAATGAGTTGGGCAGTTGTCTTACTCCATAGAAAATGGCTAGAGGAGGAGATGCTGCCCAACTTATAACTTTTAGCCCTGTGGTTAGAACCTTGAACTCACAAGGTTCAATTCCCCCCTCTCTGGCAGTGGAGGAGAAAGGATTTGAAGGGGGATCTCCCCCTTTTCAAGACCATGGTTTAACCTCTGGGCTTTGGGAGAGTCTGATAAGTTGGGGAGGGGTGTTCCTCAGTGTCTCCTGTTGAAGTTGTTCCATTGTGGATAAATAATTAAATAGCCATTGAAACAGGGGGTCTGGACTCAGAGTCTCCCACCTCCCAAGTGGGTGCCATGACCACTCAGAGTCATTCCAATTCTCCCTCTCCCTCACCAATGACTATTTAAGTACTAATTTACAGGGGAACAGTTGTTGGGCCAGGGAGAAAGAGAGCATGCAAATTGGAATGGGTCTGTAGTCCAGTGGCTAGGACATCCAGCTGGGAAGAGAGATACCCTGGGTCTAACCACTCTTTCATTATTTAGCTACAGCTTCAAGAGGAGAGACTGCTGGGGCCCCACAGGTTAATAGGTCTTAAAGCCAGAAGGGTCCATAATATTTATCTAGTCTGACCTCCTCTATATCACAGGCCAGAAAACCTCAAGTATCATTATTCCCCTTTTACAGATGAGGAACTGAGGCACAGAGAGACTAAGTGACTCACCCAAAGAGCCTGTTCGGGAGCAGGACTTGAACTCCGCTCATCTGTATCACAGTGTAGCAAACTAACCACTTAGTCACCCTTCCCCTCTTAGCTGTCTTCCTACTACCCTGGGGACAGAGCCCAACTGCTCAGGGTGATGTTTTTAATTATTTAAAAGACAGCAAACCATAGTGCAATGATAATTGGCTCTGGTGCTGTGATGTTCACACACAATCCGAGCAACCCTCTCCAGTGTAGCAGCGTTCCATGGCACATGGGTGAAAACCTCACAACAAAGCCACATGCTCTTTGCTTCTGCTCTGCCTTTTTGGGTGACATGATGGTAATTCTGTAAAAATGACAATGACATTAAATAAAGTTTCATGGGTCAGCACCCAAATGTCGGAAAAAACCTGGAGAAAATACTCAGGTCTCCAATGCAACTGTAACTCTGACCTCAGTGGTTGCATATTATGGTACTATCCTTAGTTATGTGATCACAGACAATGATTTCTGCAGGGCTCCTGCCTCTTTGATGCTCAGGTTGGGTAATGAACAGTGAATGAGGGAGGGACCCTGAAAAGCCCTGCATTATTCTCCGCCAATTCTGTTCCCAGGGACATCTGCAGTGAAGTAAATGGAGGTAGTCCTGTGACTGAGAAAAGAATCTGGCCCTCTGTGCAGATTGTAGCATGCAGAAAGTGGAGTGGGGACTCGTGGATACAAATACATGAACATTGTGTCCATTTACAAATAATGCCATTATTAAAAACATTTTAAAATTAGGATTTAATTTCCAGGGAGAAAATAAATGTTTTTTAATGCCAGTTTTCTTATTAACGGCACTGTGTGCAGCTTTCCTCACCAACTTTATGAGGCAGAGGTCTCCTGGATATTGGAGTATGTGATTATGTAATTAAGGGCTGTGTCATATGCCATACGCACAAGTGGGCAGAGTTAAGGGGATCTAGCTTTGGAGTGCACTATAATTTTAACACATGTATAGAATATTTTGAAAGGAATAAAGATAAAGCATAGAGAGGAGGCCTGTAATAAATGAAATTCCAAGGGAAGCACTAGTCACTTATGCAGTGCGGCTCAGCACTTCCAGAGTCCTGAGCCCAGTGCTCAGCCTGAGTAGCTGGGCCAGATCCTCTCTACTTCAGCCCACAGGGCACTGGGGAAGATGGAAGGATGCATCAGCAATCATCGGGCTCTAACTCTACCACCTTCACCACTCATCCATGCATCACCCCCCTCCCCTCCCCAGCATGCTGCTACATAAGGCCTCCTCCATGGTGATAGGGGCTGGATGTGCCCCCTAACACATAAGGTTTTATTTGGCATGAGCCACTAGGAATCATTCATCTCCTTCACATAGTGTGCACTGAATGTACCAAGGGTCCACAGGGAGCCCCATTGGGGCACATTGTAAGTGGGAGGGTCCAGGGCATTTTTGACGATGTTGCTTACTTAGCCATCTGGAAAATGCCAAGCCTCATTCAAAGCCTACTGCACAAGCACAAAGGGCAATTTTCAGAGTTTTGTACCTTTGTCCAGTCAAAACCAATTCTCAGAAAACTCAAAGACATTTCTCCTCAATGAGGGCTGTTTCCCGACCAAATTCCCACTCCAGCCACTACCCTACCAGGAAGGTTCAAAAAAATATTGCAAGGTTTTATTATTACAGAGTCATAGATTTTGAGGTCAGAAGGGACCATCATGATCATCTAGCCTGACCTCCTGCCCATTGTAGGCCATAATAGACCCCTAACCTGCAGCTGAGTTACTGAACTCCTCAAATCATGGCTTAAAGATGTCAAGTTGCAGAGAATTCACCATTTACACTAGTTTAAAGCTTCAAGTGACCCATGCCCCGCACTGCTGAGGAAGGTGAAAACCCCCTAGGGTCTCCGCCAATCTGACCCAGGGAAAAATTCTTTCCCAACGCCAAATATGGTGACCACAATGGGCTCAAACTTACAATAAAAACCCACAGGCAGAGACCAGGCCCAGGAAATGTCCATTCCAACAGTGAAGGCTTTGGAGAGTCAAGAGTCAACTGCAGTCTGATCAGAATGGAAACACTCGAGCCACCAGCCTTCACTACACTACTCACTGTTGCTAGAGCTCCAGCACTCACAAAGGGAAGCCTCCTGCACTGGGCAGCCTCTCTCCCCATTAACTGAAGACACCTGCTAATCTTATGCGCCTGTCTGGGAGCAGCAGTGCCTCTCATGCTCTTACACAGGCCTGAGTAGCAATGCTTGCCACAGCATAGGCACAGAGCCTGCTGCCTCACCAGTGGCAGGGGGCCCTGCATAGTGATGCATGGCATCACAGTGTAGTTAGCTGTCTTCGAGGCTAGCAGCCAGGAGCAGTTAGTGGGAAGCACTTCCAACTCTGCATCTACCACAGCTGAAGGACGACTGAATGCTCTGGCTGGAGGAGCAAATGAAGCCCGTTGAGGGCTTGTCTAGATTGGGGAAATCTGCAATGGTACAACCCCCCAGTGTAGACCCATTACACTGGGGTGCTTAACTTTGGTTTCACAGCAGTGCAGAACATCCACACTGGGGTTGCATTGGTGCAGCCTCACACTGCAAAAGCCCATAGTGCAGGCAAGCCCTTGCAGGGTAGGTCGCACTGGGGCAAATCCCACTTTGCACTGGTGCAGTGTGTCTCCATTAGAGGCTTGCACAGGTGTAATCACACCCTTCTAACCCTATTGTTCTACGATTAGTGGAGATTTGCCTAATCTGGACAAGCTCTGAGACACGCAAATGGCCCAAGCACCACTAGTTCCCTGAAAGGTGTCCCCTGTAAGGCAGAATTACCTTCTCCAGAAAGCAGCAGCCATTGGGTTTAAATCTATTCCCCGAAGACCTTGTGGTTCAGACAGTTTCCCAGTGAAACATGATGTCCTGACAAGGTGGAGGGGATTGTACATCATCTCTCCTGACCCTCCACAAATTATAGATATTCACAGATGACCAACCCCTTCTAGGGGAAAGGGCAGTTGTCAGGAGCTGGCTTGTGGATAAGAATCATCACGCTGCAGTTTTGGCAAGGTGCAAGGGTGTTCATTTTGTCCGAAGTCATTGGTCCAAGTTTCTTCTCTGATTGTGGCAGTTTCTTGTCTGTGGCCTGCTGTCAGTATGGTGGGGTGAGGGGAGCTGTGTGCATTGCTTTTATAAGTTGATCTTGGTGGCAGATGGGTCTGCTGTAGCCCGTGTCACAGACACAGGGACAAGGGGTTTCTTCTTGCAATCACATCAGCACTCTTCTCCGGAGGAGCATTTCTTTGAAGCTGTATCTAACTGCAGGACCTGGCAATCCCTCCAGCTACTCTTGGCTGCCTAGTGACTCTAGACATATGCCACCCATCCCCTTGCTCATTCACTCCCCCGCACCTTGCTTGTGTCTGTGTATTTAGGCTGTGAGCTCTTCCAGGGAGGAACCGTGTCCTCCTGTGTGTAGGTACAGCATGGAACACAATGGGCTCTCAGTCCCGACTGGGGCCTTCTGTGCTATCCCACAATATAAGGGATAAATAATAGTAATAATTATATGTCAAGGAATGAAAGACCTGAAGAATCAAATACTCCAGCAATGAGCTCCAGAGAAATACCTATATGCCAATGAATTATAGATTTCAGAAACTGATTTCTGGGTGCCTGCTATTTTACTGCAAGAAGGCAACATGGTTCAGACACTTTGAAATCTAGGGATCAGAAGCATTCTGTAGATATAGAGGTAGTATATAATAATAATTTTCACATACACACACACGTTTCTGTGGAACCCTACTTAATTCAGCAAGGTGTGTGTATGTGTGTTTGTACAAAGTATCGTTACTACTGCTACTTTCATGAGAAATTTTTAGATCTGAAGTGATGTAATTTTTTTAACTAGTGCTATGTAGTAATGTCCCTGTGTAATTAGTAAATCATTCTTTGCAGGAGCAACTCCCACTGACTTCAGCGAGGCCAGAATTTTACCCACAGTCCGCATTTAGCACATCCTGATCTCTCCCCATGTATTATATGGAATGCAGTGATCTGTCACGGCTGTCACCTCTCTCCAAGCCTTTTAGCATGTTTGTAAAACATGTTGATGATTCCCTCCATGCTCTTTGGCCTGACATTTTCCACTTTGTCATTATGATTCCCCAGTACTGTTTGGTTGCTCATCTGTGCCCCTGCGGCCAGTTCATTTCCCCTGGCCATCCCATTGCTGCTTAAGATGTGAGAAATTGATAAAACCTCCCAGTGTACAATCCAGAGCAGGGCAAGGCATTGTTTCATAGGGAGATAAGATAGCCCCACGTCATTGGGTGGGTCCCAGAAGTGACCAATGACAATGGACAGCTGCCAAGTTCTGCTCTCCCCTTCCCCTTTATAACTGAGGCTGTGAAGGCAATCATGACAGACCTGTCCGAGTTTCCATTGTAAAAAGGCTGATCTCACAAACTCCAGCAGCGATGACTCTGACTCAAGCTGAGAAGGCTGCAGTAATTGCCATTTGGGGAAAGATAGCTGCCCAAGCTGATGCCCTTGGGACCGAGTCGCTGGAGAGGTAAGCAATGCAGCATCTTTGCTTAGATACTGTGGGCCTGTCTCTGGTCTCAGTCTGGTAGACTTACTCTAGTGTAAAACTTGTGTGAATGAGATCAGAATCAGGCCCTGAGACGCTCATTAGATTCTGTGGGCCAAATTCACCACTAGTGTAAGTGGACCTAGCAACATTGACAATAATTGAGCTGTGCTTGCTTTTGCCAGGGGTGAATCTGGGCCTGTAATTCAGAGGCCTGGGGAAATCAGAGACAATAATGGTTGGCTACTGGGCACCCTTGAGTGGGCAGATTTTGAAGTGTATCATTCAAACATTGATGATTGAGGACCTCAGCTTTTCTTGGAGAATAACGTTCATGGAAAGTCTAGTAGAATGTGGTAGAGCTCTATAGAAATTACTCTAAAACTCTAGACTTTATCGGAGAATAATATTCCTGCTATCAAATCCTACTGGATGGTTTCTAAAGAAAGAAGGTAATTTTCTATTCACTTGTATAGCACTTTCCATGAATACCAGCTGAGAGGAGTTCAGGAGAGTGACTCCACACTGTCATTAATACCGAGATAATACCTTGCCAAATGCAAAGGTTATCATTTTTATGAGCTGAACATGAAAAAAGAAGGCATGGATGTGGGGTTTATTATGTAAGTGATGCAATTTATATTGGCAAGTACTGAGCAATGCTTGAGAATGGATAATATACAGGGCATTCAAGCGGATTGCTTGAAACATGTCTCAACATTCCATTTGATGTGCAACAGATTAGTAGGAGAAGTAACTATCTCCTAGAAGTGTATATCACTTTAAACCACATGGACTTGTAGGTCCACGGAGGGTTTGCTGTAAATACAACTATATAGCCTTTATTGGCAGAACTGGGAAATTGTATTTTATATGAAGTGAAGGTTATGTTAAGTGAAGAAGGTGTTTTCCCCCAAACATCCCATTTCAAATAAACCCAGCTGAAGTTTGGGGATGACCCACCCTATGCTCCTTCCAGCAGAAATCCACCCAAAGCTAATCAACTAAATAAGATGACACAAAGGGAGGGAAAGAACCTGGAAGTTGATTGAACATGCTTGGTTTATTCAGGCAAAGAATAATCCCAGGTTTGTGTTATTCAGCCTGTTAATTTTAAATCTTTTGATGGTCCTTTCTGGATGTATAGCCTCACTTATAGTGGGTAAAGCAAAGATTCTGGACAATAAAATATCTCTGTATCTAGAGTATTCACTGTAAGGTTATGGATTTTGCTAACTATCATTAGGAAATAAAACTTAGTTCTGCTGAAGAAAATATACTACAGAAGGTGCAGGTGGCTGTGTGGAGGTATTAGGTTATTTAGTTCAAAGAAGAAAAGAAAGTAAGTTTAAAACGCTTTTAAAATACATTTCAGCATGTAAATCTACATTTGCCTCTAGGATCCCACTACATCTAATTATTCACTGTGGGTTAGAATCCTCCCTGGTGTGACTCCATTGATTTATGCAGTTATACCAGGGATGAATTTGGTCTGATATCATTCTTTTCCTAAAATAAAGAAATAAGGTTACAAACTGCTTCTGTGGAACTGCTGGCCTGTAACATTTGAATATTCCCGCACCAGTTCAGCTCATGGTTTAGAACAGGTTACAGTAGGACATTAACAGTCTAAGGATCACAGATTTTCTCTAATCCATTCTAATGCTTTGGACTAGAAGAGCAGAATGGAGTGTTTATCCAGGGTCATGGCTCCCCCTTTCTCAGTGTCAGCTGCTCAGTGCAATTTCCATTGCTGAAGCCACTTCTAATGTTCTCTTCCAGGCTTTTTTCAAGCTTCCCACAGACCAAGACCTATTTTCCTCATTTCGATCTCAGCCAAGGTTCTGCTCAGCTTCATGACCATGGCTCCAAGGTCCTGGGTGCTATTGGTGAGGCTGTCAAGAACATCGATAACATTACAGGTGCCTTGGCCACACTTAGCGAGCTGCATGCCTACATCCTCCGAGTCGATCCGGTGAACTTCAAGGTGAGTGAACTCCTACATGCAGTGCAGAGGGTGAAGAGAGTCCATTGGTCACTGAGTCAGGGGGCCCAGGCCACTTCAGCTGATGGGAGCTTAAGCACTGAATACTTTCCCATATAGTGCAGAGTGTGGCAGGGACGAAGCCTTGCAGCTCAGCGGTGAAGCTGTTATCATGCTGAGCCTTGGAAATGTGGCTGCAGCTTCACTTTAATCAGAGTGGCTGTGGAAGTCCTTGGCTGTTCCCTCTTGGGCTGGCTAAGACTCCTGCCTTTGTTGGGAACAGTCAATCCTGAGAGTGCAGCTGTGGTCCAGGAGGCTGTGCACTGGTCTGGGAATAAGTAGCTCTGGTTCTGCCATATACTCACTGTGTGATCTTGGGCAGGTCACATCACATCTCTGTGCCTCATCTTCCCCATCTAAAATGGGGATTATGATACTGACAGTTCTTGGCCAAGGGCTCTGAGGTTCCTGCATGAAAAGCCTTCTATAAATGCAAGGGTTATTCACAGTTACTTTGTATTCTCCTTTTGTGGAGGGGAAAGAGGGAGCAATGTTAAGCAATGACTTTTCTCTAGTCCAGAAGGTGGATTTCTTAGCCAATAGCTCATATCCACATGAGGTGACTCTGTGTAACTAGCAAGGAGATTCCTGCTTGATTCTTCAAAGACCAGACTCTCACTAGCCAGAGGAATGTTATTTCAGGCAGTTCCATTTGATTTCCTCCTGTTCTTTTCTCTTGCAGCTGCTTTCCCATTGCATTCTGTGCTCTGTGGCTGCCCACTTTCCCAACGACTTCACCCCAGAAGTCCATGCTGCATGGGACAAGTTCCTGTCCAAGATTTCTTCGGTGCTGACTGAGAAGTATAGATAAACTGTCTCCTTGGAGTATGAGGCCATGGCAGCTAGGAGTGGAATGCCCATCTCTCATCATGCACGCTTCATGAATCCCCACACATGGGTTTTATCCTTAACAAAAAGTCAATAAATATGCCAATTAGCCATCATGATCTCTGTGCTTTAATCTTTACTGGCTCCAGCCACACATTATTGTTCATAATGAGAGGTGTTCTGACATTCCCTGTAAGAGAGGTGAGGGATAGCTCAGTGGTTTGAGCAGTAGCCTGCTAAACCCAGGGTTGTGAGCTCAATCCTTGAGGAGGCCATTTGGGATCTCCGGCAAAAATTGGGGATTGGCCCTGCTTTGAGCAGGGGGTTGGACTAGATGATCTCCTGAGGTCCCTTCTAACCCTGGTATTCTATGATTCTATGCTAAGGGGTTAATTATCAGGGATCCACATACAACACTTCTATTTACCCTTTTCTCATCATACATTGAACTGAAGGGCAGCAAATTTAAAACCAATACAAGGAAATGTTTTTTGCACAATTTGCCTGTGGAACTCATTACCACAAGATCTCATTGAGGCCAAGAACTTACCCAGATTCACAAATAATTAGATACATCCTTGATAAAGGGAAGTTACCTTAGATAAGATTCCCCCAAACCCAACATTTTAAGGCACAGAACCCTCCTACTTCAGGGAATAAGACCGTCTCTAATGAAAGGGTCTAGGAAGAAACTCCTGTGTGGGCAGGCTATACCGAAACTGCCACTGCAGGGATCTTTGTATCTTCTGGTGCTGATGCTGACCATAGCCCAGGATCTTTCCTCTGGCAAAGAGGACCCTGGGCTGAGCCAGACTGGCAGTATCTCTGAGACACCCCCTCCCCAGCTGATTTGCCTGGCTAGACAAAGCCATGTCGTGCAAGCGTAGCTGGGATGCTGTGTGAAAGCAGAGGAAAGGTCTCTAGCAGGACTTCAGAGCCTGGTTCTGTTTTATGCATTTATATTTCAAGTTAAGTCAGTGCTGGTGGGAGCTGCCAGATTGACAGTCTTGAGCATTAACTCCTCTGTCTTTAGATGGGCAGCAGCATCCCACCCTTCCCTGGTCAAGATGGGCCACTCTCGTTTGGTCTCCATGATTCAGTCTCAGATTGCCAGCAACAGTTCCCGTTACGTCCAGTCCTAATTCATTGTACACAGGTCACCAAACAGCTGCCAGAGGTTAGTGACTTTGCCAGTGGTGACTCAAAGGTGAAAGGTTTTGTATTACATTCCCGTTCCCAAGATGCCTAGCCAGACTCCTGACTGAGGCTCAGGTGGAACCCGAGACAGAGAGGTGAAAGGCGTCATATCCGTATCCAGCCCCTTTCCCCATGTTCGTTTCCAGCTCCACGGGCAACATGCTGACTTCCCCAGTACAGACATGCAATATGACATTTCAAGGCTGCAGGGCACAAGGCTGGATTTCAACAAGATATGGGCACTGTTGTGATTTTAATGGTGACATCCTGAGGAAATGCTGCATTGAGTGGACTCCCCTGCGGAGCGGAGTGTCCAGAGGCAACACTCACAGTTGTACTAGTGCCGGTTTCAGAGTAACCTGGAAATAAAAGAGGCCAGAGATGAAGAGCCATATTTTACCATGATGTGCAAAGAACGATCACACCGAGAGGTAGATGTAAATAAAAAGCCATTGGGACCCAGTCCAGTTCTCATTAAAATCAATAGAAAGAGTCCCAATTGCATCAGGCCCTGAAACAGTGCATGCTCAGCACCTCAGCAACACCTCACATTAGGATGCAGCATTGGAGCACTCTGACTCAGTTTCCCTTTTATGATCCTCAGACTTGGAGTAAGGGTCAACAATCCCTCAGATATGGCTCACTGCTTCAGCGTTTGCTGGGTTTGGCAGGGGAACAAGGGCCACTCACTCCTCTGGGCTCCAGGGTCCCTGTAGGAAGTGGTTGAAATCTCTTCTGACCCCTTGCTGCTTCCTTGACCTGCTTCCTACCATGGGCCTCTGCAGGTGATTCATCAGACTCCGGTCCTGTGATCCTCTCCTCCTAGAGGTCCAGCTTTGCTTCTCATCACTCTGCTGCTGAAGGGTGTCACTTTCAGTGGCTTCTCAGCCTCTCTGACAGCCTCCTGGAACTCCTTCACCCCTACTACCTTCTCCCTTCAGGGCCAGACCTAATCCCTACTGCAGTTCTTCTCTCTCAGTCCTCCCCTATTGGCCCTTCCTTTATAGCAATCATTCAGTCTGTTTCTTCCCAGCTAGGTCTAATCCTTAATTCCTTCTATCGCTTGGAGGTGTCAGAATTGGCTAATTAGACTCTTGATCTCCCCTTAACCCTGTCACTACAAGTGTGGGGTTTATACACAGAAGACCCGTCACAAAGCCCTACAAGCAAGAAAGCTGATTTTGTGGCTTGTGGTTCCTCTGGACCAGGCTTGACAAACGCCTGGCCTGGCCTAGCGGATCCCATGATATAAGAACATAAGAGCTGCCAGACCAGGTCAGACCATAGTCACTCTTGCCCATTATCCTGTCTCCAACAATAACCTGTACCAGAGCTTCAGGGGGAGTATACAGAACAGGGCAATTATGAAGGGATCCCCCCATCTGGTAATCAGAGGTTGTGGGATGCCCAGAGCATCAGAACATAAGAACGGCTCTACTGGGTCAGACCAAAGGTCCATCTAGCCCAGTATCCTGTCTTCAAACAGGGGCCAATGCCAGGTGCTTCAGAGGGAATGAACAGAACAGCTAATCATCAAGTGATCTATCCCCTGTCGCCCATTCCCAAATTCTGGCAAACAAAGGCTAGGGACACCATCCCTGCCCATCCTGGTTAATAGCCACTGTCAGACCTATCCTTGATTAAATTATCTAGTTCTTTTTTGAACCTTGTTATAGTCTCGGCCTTCATAAACATCCTCTGGCAAAGAGTTCCACAGGTTGACTGTGCCTTGTGTCAAGAAATACTTCCTTTTGTTTGTTTTAAACCTGCTGCCTATTAATTTCATTTGGTGACCCCTAGTTCTTGTGTTATGAGGAGTAAATAACACTTCCTTATTTACTTTCTCCATGCCAGTCATGATTTTATAGACCTCTATCATATCCTCTGTTAGTGGTCTCTTTTCTAAGCTGAAAAGTCCCAGTCTTATTAATAAAAGAAAAGGAGTACTTGTGGCACCTTAGAGACTATCAAATTTATTTGAGCATAAGCTTTGCATCCGATGAAGTGAGCTGAAGCTCACGAAAGCTTATGCTCAAATAAATTGGTTAGTCTCTAAGGTGCCACAAGTACTCCTTTTCTTTTTGCGAATACAGACTAACACGGCTGCTACTCTGAAACCAGTCTTATTAATGTCTCCTCATACAGAAGCTGTTCCATACCCCTAACCATTTTTGTTGCCCTTTTCTGTACCTTTTCCAATTACAATATATCTTTTTTGAGATGGGGCGACCACATCTGCATCCAATATTCACGATGTGGCATACCCTGGATTTATATAGAGGCATTGATATTTTCTTATTATCTATCCCTTTCCTAATGATTCCCAACATTCTCGTAGCTTTTTTGACTACTGCTGCAGTGGAGGTTTTCAGAGAACTATCCACAATGGCTCCAAGATCTCTTTCTTGAGTGGTAATAGCTAGTTTAGACCCCATCATTTTATATTTATAGTTGGGATTATGTTGTCCAATGTACATTATTTTGCATTTATGAACATTGAATTTCATCTGCCATTTTGTTGCCCAGACACCCACTTTTGTGAGGTCCCTTTGTAACTCTTCACAGTCTGCTTTGGACTTAACTATCTTGAGTAGTTTTGTATCATCCGCAAATTTTGCCACCTCACTATTTATCCCTTTTTCCAGATCATTTATGAATACGTTGAACAGCACTGGTCCCAGTACAGACCCATGAGGGACACCACTATTTACCTCTCTCCACTCAGAAAGCATGGGGTTGCATCCCTGAGCATCTTGGCTAATAGCCATTGATAGACCTCTTCTCTGTGAAATTATCTCGTTCTTTTTTTGAACACAGTTATACTTTTGGCCATCACAACATCTTCAGCTTCAGATTCTGCAGAATGAAAGTTTGCATTGAAAGACAATTAATAGCCCTTATAGTTGTGAAAATAAAGTTACAAATGTGAACCAATGTTGGAAACAACAGCTTTGAGAGTTTTGAGCCATCTCAGTGGTCTGTTGACTCTGAAGCATAACAATTACACTTTACAGACCAGAATTCCTGATAACTTAGATAGGCTGTTGTACACACAAATTGTATATTTCTAATTTGCATGTTTAATTACTGTAATTGCATAGGCAAATAGCCAAATAAAGAAAGGGCAGAAATGGTAATGTTCTTGATAGCGTCCTGCAACTTGTATTCCTCATAAAGTGATTCCAAAATCTGCTGTAAATTTGCTAACAGTTTAGAATCATAGAATCATAGAATATAAGGGTTGGAAGGGACCCCAGAAGGTCATCTAGTCCAACCCCCTGCTCAAAGCAGGACCAATTCCCAGTTAAATCATCCCAGCCAGGGCTTTGTCAAGCCTGACCTTAAAAACCTCTAAGGAAGGAGATTCTACCACCTCCCTAGGTAACGCATTCCAGTGTTTCACTACCCTCTTAGTGAAAAAGTTTTTCCTAATATCCAATCTAAACCTCCCCCACTGTAACTTGAGACCATTACTCCTCGTTCTGTCATCTCCTACCATTGAGAACAGTCTAGAGCCATCCTCTTTGGAACCCCCTTTCAGGTAGTTGAAAACAGCTATCAAATCCCCCTCATTCTTCTCTTCTGCAGGCTAAACAATCCCAGCTCCCTCAGCCTCTCCTCATAACTCATATGTTCCAGACCCCTAATCATTTTTGTTGCCCTTCGCTGGACTCTCTCCAATTTATCCACATCCTTCTTGAAGTGTGGGGCCCAAAACTGGACACAGTACTCCAGATGAGGCCTCACCAATGTCGAATAGAGGGGAACGATCACGTCCCTCGATCTGCTCGCTATGCCCCTACTTATACATCCCAAAATGCCATTGGCCTTCTATGAAAAGTCCATTTTCTATGAAAAGGCCATTTTCCCTTGATCTTTGTGTACACCTCTCTTGGTCATCCCTGGCAG